TAAGCTGCATTTGGGGTGGATCTTCCAGAACACTAACTACTTCTGCAGGAGCAGGTGGAGGCACGGCTGGTTGTTCCTGGCTGCTGGCCACTTCTGCAGGAGCTGGCTGCTCTACAGCAGGAGGATCTGGGGGCACCTGAGCATCATACTCCATTGCTTCGTCAGCCATCACTGAGCAAGCATTAAGCTGTTCAAAAGTATTAATACAACAGAAAAATAAGGTCACACAAGCTGATAAAATTTTACTGTTCAGAAGTGATTCAGATCTTGATCTGAGGCTGGATCATACACAGGGTAGCGCACTTGCCTTGCATACTGCCAACACAAGTTCAATCCCTGCACCTAATATGGTCCTTCCAGCACTCTAGGGGTAAGCTCTGAGCACCGCAGGGTGTTCTTCAAAAAACAAAAACCACTATTATTAAAGCTGAGAAGCCTGTGGAGTTCATGCCCAATTCAATCAGCTAATCAGTGCCTAAATAAATAGCAGTACTCCTACATTACTTTGCTGTTAAGTAAAACTTTTTCAAACTTACAATACAGTGAGAAAAACTGAACACTCAATTTTCCACGGTGTAAAAAAGTTAAAAGTAAGCTTGTTGTAACTTGAATTTTTTGTAAACATCTTCCAAACAAAGGGTAACCAATTTTACTCTTTTTGGTTTGATGCACACTGAGCCAGTGCTTATTACTCCTGAAATGCAGAGGCATATGGGGGTGCCTGGGATCGAACCAGGTTTGCCAGTTAAGTATCCTACCAGCTTTAGTTTCTTTCCAGCCCCTTAACTAATTTTTAACTCAATGGAGAATACCCAATTAAAAAAAAAAGCTTTATTAAGCAATTCATATTCAGGGGCCAGAGCAATAGTACAGTGGATGTTTGCCTTACAAGAGGCTGCTCTGGATTAGATCTTCAGCATCCCATATGGTGCCTTGAGCACTGTCAGGAGTATGACTGCAAACGCAGGAGTAACCCAGGAACATCGCTGGGTATGCCCCTCCAAAAGGAAAATTCAATTTAAAAAAAAAAATTTTTCAATTCAAACTGGTGATAACATAGACGGTATGAAGTGCTTGCACTGCATACACAGTTCCCCTGAGCACCACCAGGAGTGACTGATCCCCAAGCACAGCCGAGTGTGCCCCCCTGAAAAAAAAAAGCCAAAAATCAAAATTAAAAACGAAAGAACTATCAAAAGGTTCTGGTCAAGATTTGATAGATTTAAGGGCTGGAGCCATAGCACAGCGGGTAGGGTGTTTGCCCTGCACGCGGGCCCAGGTTCGATTCCCAACATCCCACAGAGTCCCCCAGCACCGCCAGGAGTGATTCCTGATTGCAGAGCCAGGAGTAACTCCTGTGCATTGCCGGGTGTAAGCCAAAAAGCCAAAAAAAAAAATTTTTGCTAGATTTAGTTGGTGAGCTTCCAAGACCTCTAGGAGTTCCATCACTGGCTGCTCGAGGCCTGAAAGGCCCTAGAACCAAAACGTCCGTGCTGGCCCGCGCAGCTCCGCGTTTGCTCCCGACCTAGCCCACCCAACCCCGCGCCTGAGCACCGTCAGGGGGGCGGAGCGAAACGTCTCCCCCGCGCGCAAGGCCAGCCGCGACTCCAACAGGCCCGGATAACCGAGCGCTGAATCCCTCCCCGGCACGGCCGGGACCGCCCCCCACGTCGCCAAGCCCGCAACCCGCACGCGCCGCAGCAGCTTCCGCCCCGCAGAGTTGGGCGGAGTCCCGGGGCGGCGGCGGATCCACCCCGGCCCTCGGGCTCCCCCGCAGGGCGCCCCCTCAGCCCCGCGGCGGCACCGCCTCCTCAGGCGCCCGTTTCACTTCGCCCCCCACCCCCATGAAGTCTGGCACCGAGGGCAGGCGGCGGGCGCGCCCCGCCCCCCGACCCCAGCTCCGACCCTCCCCCACCCCATCCCCCGCGGCACCTCAGGCGGCTGGCTCCTCGCCTCAGTCCGACCGACTTTTTTCACCCGCCCCACGGACCTGACGAAAAAATAATACTGCGATAACCGAGTTCCCGGGAGGCCCAAACAAAACGAAACGATCCTTATTAAGTCCCAACGTTAACGTGCAAATGGTGGAGGCGAGTCGCGGACGCTCCGCCGTATGTGCAGACGCCGAGCGTCCGCTCCGGGTAAGAGGGGGTGCAGACCGACCCCCGCGCGGCCACTTCCACCTCCGCTCCTACACAGAACACCCCGAGTTCGAGCGCGGAGCCGCCGGGCCCGGGGGCTTCCCGAAGTGCCGCTGAACCTCCCCCACAGCGCTGCGTTCTGCCGCCCACCTCAGGCGGCGTCCGTTAGGCCCCCCGCGGGGTGTAGAATTCAAACCCGACAAGTTGCCCCAGAGACAGAGTGGCTAAGAACCGAGGAGCAGCGGGCGTCCTCCTCACCCAACGCGGGAAAGACGCGGTTCGCCTCACGAGCCCGCCGGAGCGCGACCGTTTCTCCCGCAGATCTCGCACCGACTCAACCGCCACTTCCGGAGCGACTCTAGGAGCGCGCACGAGTCTCCGGCGCGGGCTGCTCCTATTGGATAACAGTTTCCACCAGTGACCAATAGCTCTTCTTCTTCTGCCTTGAGTCCCAACTACCTCCAGCAACAGCACTTTCATTGGTTGATCTTCGTAAACTGACTGGGCAGCACCACGGGCTAGGAGGCCTTTTGTAATTGGTCGAAATCTCCGTCAGTCATCTCCGCCCCGCCTCTCCGAGAGAATTGCGGAAGGAGAAATCTTTGCAATTTGAACTTAATGGCGGGACGACCTTATATCAAAAAGCTTACCTGATCTTTGGTTTCTGGTTTTTTGTTTTGTTTTGCTTTGTTTTTTAACCTTTCTCCAGCCACACCTGGCGGTGCTCGAATCTGCTCCCAGTAGGGTGAGATGGACGGTGCGGGGCGTCAAACTAAGGACCGCGGCACGTGCTCCAGCCCGCTGGACCCTTCGCCCAACTCCTAGCAGATCATTTTGAAAGCATGACGCTATGGAAATTGGAACAAGGACGTAGCCCAGCCTAGCGCAGTTGCCTTGCTCTTTAGTGAAAAAACTATAGCTATATAGTAACTTTTAAAAAAATCACTCTCAGGGTCCAGAGCGATAGTACAGTGGGTAAGGCCTTGTACGCAGCCAACCAGGGTTCCATCCCCAGCGTCCCATATGGTTCCCCCAGGCACCACCAGGAGAAATTCCTGAGTGCAGAGCCAGGAGTAACCCCTGAGCATCTCTGAATGTGACCCAGAAAGAAAACAAAATCACCCTCAGAATTAGGGTGTGCACACAGAAGGGCAGTGGCGGTAAAGGGTTGAAAAAAAATTAAAAGGGTATGGGGTCAGAGTGATAGTACTGTGGGTAGGGCGCTTGCCTACCTGGGTTTTGATCTTCGGCTTCTCATCCTGTCCCCTGAGCACTTCTAGGAGTGGTTCCTGAGTGCAGTCAGGCGTGATCCCAAAGTTAAAACAAAGAGCAAGCCCTCAAGTGATATGGGTAAGGAGATATAAAAAGTCAATAATTATGTAATTGGAATCCAAGGAGGAGAGAGTCAGAGGAAATAAACGACTTTAGAAAAGAGCGGGTATATTTATAGGTTTGGGGTGCTCTAGTGAACCTGATCTGCCTCTTCACCCACACAGGCCACTGTCCCTGCATACCCTGCAACGGCGCTGCAAGATGCCTCAGGCAGCTGAGTGGTTAGTTCCACTTGTCAGTGGTGGTACACGTGCATAAAATGGTGGGGCTTTCTCAGTTTCATCCAGTTCTCTGCTTCGTGCTCACCCGCCACATCTTTTCCAGCAGCTCTGGCTGCAAGTCAAAGGTCTCTGTGAGGCTGAAGTGGAGCCATGACAGGCTCCACAAAACTCAGCAGGCCTAAATTTTAGTTTCCCCTATCAGGAAGTCCGGACTTATCAGAAAACAGTATCATCCTGGGCAGATAAACCGCCCTGTGGCAACGGCCTATCGGATTAGGGGGCAGTGGCACCCAGCCAAACAGACAGGGCCTAGGGAATGAAGTCACGGGACTGGGCGGGGACCAAGAACTGGAAACATAATGCTGGTTCCTTAAGTCACAGGACTGGACAGGGACCAGAACTGGAAACATAGTGCCGGTTCCTAGAAAAATGCTGTTATGCAACCAAACCCTATGTAAACTGTTCAGAATTCGGAGCCGGGTCCATGTCAAGACTCCACAGTGTTGGATGAGACTTTGGACCCTAGCTCGAGCTAGCAATAAAGGGGTCTTGCATTTGCATCCTCGCATCTGGTCTGGTCAATGTATCAGCGAAACTCCCCTCCCGGGACAACCCAGTCTTAAGCAGAATCAGCTCATTGTGGGAGAAGGACCTGCTGGCCTTGAGATGTTGGAGTTAAGCTTGCTCTTATGCCAGCTCATTCCTGGCATAAGCCCAAGCAGCTCCTCAAGACCAGAGTAGACATGGGTGTGTGTGTGTGTGTGTGGTTTATAGCATTCGGAGAGTGCAGGAGCAAGAAGAAAAATATTTAAAGGTAGGCGCTGGAGAGAGAATACAGTGGATAGGGCACAGCCTTGCATGTTGCCAACCCAGGTTCCATCCCCAGCACCCCATACGGTTCCTAAGCCCTGCTATGAGTGATCCCTGAGCCAGAGCCAGGAGCAAATACTGAGCATGGGGTTGACTCCCAAATTTGAAAACATTATTATGCACCCCCTGTTCCAAATAGAAAAAAAGAATTCAAAATGGAGTCAAAACTTGTGTGAATTCTAAAGCTTTAGATCTAGAAGAAAGCTGAAGATTGCCATGACCTGAGGTTCATAAAAACAAAACGTGAGGGCCTGGAAGATAGCTCAATGGATATAATGCTTTGTATGAAGAACCCTGGATTCCAACAAACCCAGCATTCCATGGTGTTCCCAGCACATCCCAGAGGTTTGGATTCAGAAAGATATTTGGTTTTATAAAACATCAATCTCAGTTACTACTATCAAATGCATATATTTGGAAATTTCACTAGAAGCAAAATACATTTTGTAAACCAGAAATTGTTCTGTTTGCGACATAAAAGTAATGCCTTCTTGTGCCCACAAATACTATGAGAGAGCTGTGCCTCCTCCTGCTTCTCATCCACTCCGCAGTTTCAGTTTCAGCCCAAGGAAGACAGCATTTCAATGATTTCTGTGAAGGAATGAATGAACAGAAAGTTAGAAAATATCCAAGCTGAGAGTCAAGCTAGGAACACAGGACTTTTTACACTATACAGTAGTGCAAAAACAGCATCCCCTCTGGTCAGGCTGATAACTAAAGGAAAAAAAAATGTGCACTGGGGCCCAAGTGATAGTACATATGCCTTGCACGCAGCTGACTGGGGTTTAATTCCTGGCATCCCATAATGTTCCATGAGCACCTCCAGGAGTAATTTCTGAGTGCAAATCCAGGAGTAACCCCTCAACATCACCTGGTGTGATTCCCACCAACACCCCCCCCCAAAAAAAAAAGTGCATTAATGCTATTGTGATAAGAAGTTCCCTTCTAACTAGGCCGATTTTTTTCCCCTTGCACGGAATGAACCAAAGGTCCTACTCTTGTGAAGCATGTGCTCAATGCCTAGGTCTAAAATACAAATAATTTCTGGGACTGGTAATCTTTCATCCTAATAGGAATTAATCTCAAGTAGTAATTCTTTTATCCTAGAAGGGTACCCATTTGTAAAGAGCCTGGAAGAGGAAGGAAGAAGACAAAGGAAAGTCTGAAAGACAGGAAGGTGCAATGTAAAACCGTAGTCAGCTTCTCATCCACACTGAAAGCATGTTCTTCAGGAAGCACAGCTGAGTCTACTCTTCCGCTTTCCCGTGTCCAAGAAAAAGTTTCATAAAAAACCTAAACCCAATCAGCCTAATCAGTGGCTGAATAAATAGCAGTACTTCTAAATATAAAAAAAAAAAAACTAAACCATGGGGCCAGAACCACAGTAGAGCAGGAAGGGCATTTGCCTCGCACATGGCACACCCGGGTTCGATCCCCGGCATCCCATATGGTCCCCTGAGCACTGCCAGGAGTGATTCTGGGATGCAGAGCCCGGAGTAACCCCTGAGCATCGTCAGGTGTGACCCAAAGTAAAAAAAAAAAAAAACCCTAGACCACTGAAGCTGTCTGGCAGCTATTGGAAAACCTGGGAACATGGAGCCCATCACGTGATCTAGGGCTGAATGCACAAAGATACACATACAATGAGTTGGCTGGGAGAAACCATCCACACAGGCCACAGACTGATGGTCATATGACAAAGTTTATTTGGGGATAACAATGATTCCACAGGGGCAAAAGGAATGCATTATGTGTGGAGCATGAAATGGGAAGAGAAAGGTGAAATCTATGGTTACGTGGGCTATATGGGACGGAGTGTCATGAGATATCACAGGGTCTCTATGAGCTAATGCAGAAGCAGAACAGTAAGTTTTCAGATACCACAAGTGTGTGTCGGCTCCCCTGTCTCAAGCCCTGGCTGCTGTCAACTGCAAGGCCATCAAGCTAGACTAATCATTGGGGAATGTCAATTGGTCCCCTAGCACCAGCTAGACCTCATCAAGGCCAGGCTTCAGAGCTTTTTCTCACAATCCCAGCAGCCTAGATGGTTAAGGAGTTGTGCCAGGAAGAATTCCAACAGACCCTGATTTTGATTGAGAATGGGGGTCGTGGGAGTTGGGTAACACCTGATGATGCTCAGGGGCTGCTCCTGGTTCATGCTCGGGTGACTCCTGGCAGTGCTCATGCGACCATATGCCATGCTGGTAATCTAACCAGTGTTGGCAGCATGAAAGTCAAGTGCCTGACAAGTTCTATCTCTCTGCCACCAATGCTTTTGGTACTTAATGCCAAAAAGTCAGCATGGGGATAAAGGAAGCAGAAGGAGAAGGAATGAAATTAACTCCTAGGTGTCTATTACAGAGCTTCATGAGAAGACCTTGCCAAAGGCATCAGTAAATCCTGACGTCTTTAGAAATGGTCTCAATGACTAAACTGCTGTCCCCTTTATTCCTTCCCCTTTATTCCTCTCTCATCATCAAGCTCCTGTTGTCCAAGACACTCTCCTGGGTGCCCAGGATATTAGCATAAGAATGTGTGAAGGTCTCTAAGAACAAGTACTGGGAGAATTAAACTATTCACCATAGCAGAAAGGATAAGGGCTGTTCGTGGTTGTCTCATGGACTCCTACAGATCATAATGTTGAGCAAGTGACGAAAGTAAACCATTCAAATACAAAGTTATTACACAGAAGAAACCAGATAATATACTGCACCTGGGTTATAAAACTATGGACAAATGTTTACTATTCTATTTCGGGCAGTGGTTAACCTTTGAGAGAAAGGAAAGGAAGTGAAAAGATAGTTTCTAAGTCAGGGGCAAAATTCTGTTCTTTAACAAGAATATGTTCTTTCACACTTTCACATGATTTTTGAAAAAAAAAAGCCACATCTATTGGACCGAGGACATTGTACAGGGGGCAAGGCACTTTCTTTGCCTATTGCTCACCCTGCTTCTATCCCATAACTCTATATGGTTCCCTGAGCATCATCAGATGTGGACCCAGGCACAGAGCCAGGAATAGCCCCTAAGCACTACACATACTCCATTACAGCATCACATATTGCAGTAAAGACATTTTAGTCCATTTTTGAATTCTGTAGCAACTTTGAGTAGAAACAGTTCCCCAGTGTGGGGCTGTTTTATGTAAACCACCAAGTCTTCTATGTGGTGTTTTGTGGAAAGTCTGAGAGTTTGTGATCATGAATAAGAAAATAGGGGCTGGAGTGAGAGTACTGAGGGAGGGCATTTGACTTGCATGTAGTCGGCCCAGGTTCAATCCCTGGCATCCCCGAGCACCGCCAGGGGTAATTCCTGAGTGCAGAGCCAGAAATAATAACCCCCTGAGCACTGCCTGATGTGACCCAAAAAGCACCCCCCCAAAAAAAAAAATAGGAAAGGAAAATGTGCTCAAGAGACTGTGTAAGAAATTGGAAGGGGCTGGAGAGATAGCACAGCGGGTAGGGCGTTTCCCTTGCACGCGGCTGACCCAGGTTCGATTCCCAGCATCCCATATGGTCCCCTGAGGGGTAACTCCTGATTGCAGAGCCAGGAGTAACCCCTGTGCATCGCCGGGTGTGACCCAAAAATAAAAAAAAAAAAACAAAGAAATTGGAAAAGCAGAGATAACATGGGAAGCCAAACATCTGGGGAGAGAAAAACAAACTATACCAAGGATACTGAAAACGAAGAGAAAGGGGAGAATGCAGAGGCCAGACACCTGTACCCCTCTCCTTCTGAGGGGAGCAGAAAGGAAGGAAAGAGAATAGGGAGGGGCTGAAGAAAACATTAAGGTTGAGTAATCAGCTCCACTCCAAGCTAAGCAGTATCCTGAGGCCAGGGTTTCCAAATTCTTGTACCACAGATGTTTGGGTGGAATAATTCTTTGCTGCAAGAGGTTGCCCTGTGTATTTCTCAAAGTTTGGTAGCATCTATTCCATCTACTAAAAGCCAGAAGCACTCCCCACCCCATTTCACCTCCTGAGAAGGACAACCCACAATGTCTTTAGCTGTTGCCCTGTCCCCCAAAGAGAAAAATCACCCCTGGTCGTAAACCACAAAGGAAAACTTAATGTCAAATTACAATGTGGGGGCTGGAGCGATAGCACAGCGGATAGGGCATTTGCCTTGCACGCAGTCGACCCGGGTTCGATTCCCAGCATTCCATATGGTCTCCTGAGCACCACCAGGAGTAATTCCTGAGTGCAGAGCCAGGAGGAATCCCTGTGCATCGCCGTGTGTGGCCCAAAAAGTGGGAAAAAATTACAATGTTATCTGTGCTCTCTGGATCAGAAGGAAAGCTACCCCCTGGGGCTGGTGATAGTACAGTAAGATGCTTGCCTTGCATGCATTCGACCTGAGTTTGATCTCCGGCATTCCATATGGTACCCTGAGCACTGCCAGGAGTAATTCCTGAGTGCGGAACCTTGAGTAACCCCTAAGTACTGCCAGGTGTAGCTCCCAACCAAACAAACAAGAAAAACCCGCGCGCACACACAAAAAAGAAGCCTACCCTCAACCTTCGGCCGCTCCGAGGGTTCATAAGCCCGGCACCTGTTAATGATCTCCTGCAACTTGAAAGGGCAGTCTTCACCCAATGGTTCCTGGTGCTGGTTTTCAACCACCCGTTGGTAGAGAGTCTGAGAATTGCAGCCTGGAATGAAGACGACAGAAAGGAAGATTTAGGGCTGGAGAGAGAGGACAGGGCTAAGGTGCTTGCCTTGCATCCCTGTTGATCCCTGGGCATCACAAGGAATGACCCCTGAGCGCTTCTGGGTGCAGCCCCTAAACAAAACATGGCACAGCTGTCTGAATGCTGATGGGCCAGAGATAGCACAGGAAGTCAGGAACTTGTCTTGAACGCAACAACCCAGGTTCAAATCCCTGGCACAACATACTGTCCCATAAAAGCCAGGAATAGCCCCTGAGCATTGCCAGATGTGGCCCGAACCCACCCGCACCCCCAAATTAAAAAAAAAGAACTAGGGACTTTGGGTCTCAAGGAAACAAGCGCTTCCAATGAGCCCACTAAGCACTCCCACAATGCACACATGGGAGTGTAAAGCTCCCCGGACAGGAAGGTGTGTGGGTGTGCTCTACTGGACCCAACCGCAGAACTGGGTACTGCTTACCTTCAAATGGGATCTTCCCGGTAGCGATTTCCCAGAGGACAATTCCAAAGCTAAAAGAAAACATTCTTCTATTCATTTCCAGGAACTCAACAAAACTGGAACTCAAAAATCATGCTTGGGGGGCTGGAGTGATAGCACAGCGGGTAGGGCCTTGCACGCAGCTGACCCGGGTTTGATTCTCAGCATCCCATATGGTCCCCCGAGCACCGCCAGGAGTAATTCCTGAGTGCATGAGCCAGGAATAACCCCTGTGCATTGCCGGGTGTGACCCAAAAAGCAAAAAAAAAAAAAAAAATCATGCTTGGGGGCTGGAGCAATAGCACAGCGGGTAGGGCATTTGCCTTGCACGCGGCTGACCCGGGTTCGATTCCCAGCATCTCATATGGTCCCCTGAGCACCTGCTGAGTGCAGAGCCAAGAGTAACCTCTGTGCATCGCCAGGTGTGACCCAAAAAGCAAAAAAAAAAAAATCATGCTTGGCTAGGACTGCCCCATCTTCTCAGTTCAAGTTCATTTGAGAATACAGAGTTACCTGTATATTTCGGCTTCCATGTCATATGTATCATAGACATTCTTCAGTCTCTGAGGTGAGCGGTATACTGAGGAATTGATTCCCTCCTCTCTCTTTCTTTTAGTTTCTCGTCTGATGGAAGTCTGTGTTTTGCTCAACTCAAACCCTGCCAGCTAAACAGAGACAGAAGCAGCAGGATCTTGGGTGGATGGGAGGAGAGGGCAGAGCTAGGAGCTGCACGTGACTCTGAAGGATGGCATTTCACCTTTGAGATGCGTTTCCAGCCCAGGGGTCTCTTCTGGCATTACGTACACCAAAAGAGAAAACACAAAAAGTTTCTTCTCTCTAAGACAGGGCAATGGGATGGGTATTTGATCATTGTATAATTGAAACCCAAGCACAAAAATTTGTAAGTCTACAACTGTACCTCATGATATCTCACTAATAAAATTTTTTTTTAAAAATTAAGAAAAAAATGTAAAACAGGGCAATGGTCTTTTGCAAACTACAATACCCAAAAGGAGAGAGAGAACAAAAGGGAATGCTCTGCCACAGAGGCAGGGTGGGATGGAGGGGATGGGGGGTGGGAGGGATACTGGGATCCGTGGTGGTGGGAAATGGGTACTGGTGGAGGGATGGGTATTTGATCATTGTATAATTGAAACCCAAGCACAAAAATTTGTAAATCTACAACTGTACCTCATGGTGTCTCACTAATAAAAATTTTAAAATTTAAAAAAATAATAAAATAAAAAATTAAAATAAAACAGGGCAATGGGAGGGCCTGGGGAGATGGTTCAATGGTTAAAAGTATCTACCTTAAAAGTGTGAGACCATGATGGTGCCAGAGCAATAGTACATGGAGTAGGGCACTTACCTTGAACACAGCCAACCCGGGGTTGATCCCTGGCACCACTCAGATCCCTGAGCCCCACCAGGAGTGATCCCTGGGCTCAAGGTCAGGAGGAAGCCCTGATCACAGGTGGGGCCCAAAATGAAATAAAAAACTGCATTTTGTGGGTGGAAGTTAAGGTACATGCTTGCATGCAGCTGACCCCAGCCGGGAGGAAGGCAGTGAAGCCCGCAGGGGTCCCCCATTGGAACTGAGGCCTCTCACCTTCACCTGAAAGCCTTTTGCCACCAGGAAGCTGGCGCTGCTGATTTTTTGGTGGAGCTCGGGCTTGACACTCTGGTGCAGCCTGTGGGAGCAGAGGCAGGGAGTGGGTGACCCTGGCTGGGCCGGAGGAGTGGTCAGGCCTTCCTCCAGGGCAGCCTCACATGGCTAGACCAGGGAAGTGGGATTCCAAGGCTACAGCAACACAAAGCTGCCCCTGAATACTGCCCGTGACGTATTTCCTGCTTGGTCACAGCTTGGTCGGATTCCCTGTGCTGTGGAATAAGTGACCTCCTGCCTTAGGTTGTTATCACCGAGTCGTCCTGGGGTTCACTTCTCCCGGAAGCAAATCATCGGCCATGGACTTGGGCACCAATCATTATTTGGGGAGAGGGCAAATCTGACAGCACTCTGGGCCTGTATGTGGTGCCAGGACTTGAACCAGGGTCTCAGTGGCAGCACACCGATTCTTAAGAATCTCTGTACTAACTTAGCAGGGAGAGCACTGGCTTTGCACGTGGCCCACCTGTTTTTTCTTGTTGTTGTTGTTTTTTGCTTTTTGGGTCACACTCGGCGATGCACAAGGGATACTCCTGGCTCTGCACTCAGAAATTACTCCAAACCCGGGTTGGCCGCGTGCAAGGCAAACGCCCTACCCACTGTGCTCCAGCCGGTAGGAGTAATTCTTGAGTAGAAAGCCTGTAGTAACCTCTGAGTACAGCCAGGTGTGGCCCCAAAACAAACAAATAAGAAGCTCTGTACTACCTCTGGGCTCCCATTTAGGTTATTCCTAGAATGTTTTTAGAAATAGTACAGGCCTTCTGCATTGTCTTTCCTAGTTAGCCCTCATATCTGGGCTATTTGAAAGTAGGGCATTGGTTACAAGGACTGATCTGGGTTCGATCCCCAGCATCCCATATGGTTCTTCAGCCCCTCCAGGAATGATCCTTAAGCACAGTGGCACAAGTAAGCCCAGAGTACCAGAGTACCGCAAGGTATGCCCCAAAAGCAAATAAATAAACCAAAAAAAACTATGAAGTAAACAATGGTCAGCCTTTTGCATATGGTAGAAATCAAAGAACAAAAGGTCTTGTGGACCGGGGAGGTAAACGAATCAGAGAACTCGCACTTAAGAACAGCTAGAATCTGCAAATAATATAGAGGGTAAGATGCAAATAAGATGCATCTTATTTTGGATGATTGGTGAATTTCTTTTAGGTATATGCATGTTCCCAAAATTGCATGGGACATACATTAAAAAGTTCTTTATTGGGGCTGGAGTGATAGCACAGCGGGTAGGGCATTTGCCTTGCATGCGGCCGACCCGGGTTTGATTCCCAGCATCCCATATAGTCCCCTGAGCACCTCCAGGAGTAATTCCTGAATGCAGAGTCAGGAGTAAAGCCTGTGCATTGCCAGGTGTGACCCAAAAAGCAAAAAAAAAAAGTTCTTTATTGTAAGGCTGGGATGCAGCTCACAGTACAGCACAATGCCCCAGGCCTGTGAGACGTGGGTTTGATGTTTGATTGCTGGCACTGGGGGGGGGGGGGCAGGGGGGGAGTTATTGCTGGGGTAGGGAGCTGGCTCCTACTGTGCAAGCTTTGGGTGGGGAAGGAACCACTGATAGGACAGCCACCCAAGGACTCAGGAGAAGTTCAAAAGTAATACAAAACATCACTTATCAGAACTCGGATTTTAGTACAAGATGTCATATGTACTAAAGACATATGCCATATGTACTAAAGACATAGATGTCATATGTACTAAAGACAGATGTCATATGTCCCAAAGACACAGGACAAAGATCACTTGCCTTGCATGTGATCAACCCTGGACCAACCCTATCTGGTACCTAGGCCCAGGCAGGAGTGATTCCCAAGCACAGAGGTAGGAGTAAGTTCTCAGCACCACCAGGTGTGGTCCAAGGGCCCAAACAGAAAGGAAACCTGAGGTGTCTCGGGTAATATCCAGCACAGACACTAAACAATCATTCCTTGCTTTTCTGAAATTCCAAGATAACTCGGCATTTTGCATTTTGCTTTGCTGTGCCTGGTGACTTCAGGAGTAAGTCCTATTCAGTTGCCCAGGCTGCCCAGGTTTAGATTCAACACTCAAGGGGCTGGAGCGACAGTACAGCGGGTAGGGGACTATCTTCAACATAGGGTACAGCCTTGCAAGCAGGTTCCTGGGTTCCATCCCCAGTATCCCATATGGCCCCCAAGCACCGCCAGGATTAAGTCGTGAGTGCAGAGCCAGGAGTTAACCCAGAGTATTGGTGGGTGTTGTTACTGTGTTTGGCATATCAAATACTCTCGGTAGCTTGCCGGGCTCTCTGAGAGGGGCGGAGGAATCGAACTCGAGTCGGTCATGTTGGCCGCTTGTAAGGCGAACGCCCTACCCGCTGTGCTATCGCTCCAGCCCTAATACAAAATAAAATTTCAACACCGAAGGGGCCAGAGACATAATTTAAAGTGCTGAACACGTTCTGCACTCAGAACACATGTCCCCCAAGCGCTGCCAGGAGTGACGCCAAGAACAGAACCAGAAGTAGTCCCAAAGGCCTCCTGATATGGCCCAAAGGCAGCAACAACAAAATTCAGCAATGGAGTCTGTAAGCTGCCGCTCTCTGGGCTAAGGCTCTCTCTCTGGGCTGACAACTAAGGAATTCATTACTCACAGTCATTAAATACTTATGGAAGGGGACACACTCAGGAATACTCTCTAGCAATCTCTGGGTTTCTCAGATACTTCTGGGGGTCCTTCTCACTCACACCCAGGAGGTACCTGTTCAAGCCTCTGGCAGCGCCGAGCATGAGGATGACGCGCTCAGCCAGCGTCAGGTCCTTCCTGGAAGCCAGCAGGTCCCTGAGGCTGCCGAGTTCGCAGTACTCCATGACGATGGAGAATTGTGGGTCAGTCCCTGATGGGAGAGGGTCAGCCCTGGTCAGCATCCAGCCTCCTGCCCTCCCCCCACAGACCCCCGTGTTCCCCACTCTCCACTCCCATTTCACTCTATTTGCTCCCTGATCTCTCCGAATGGGTCAAACCTCAAACTTGCAATTATCTTCCTCATGGTATTCGCCATGTGGCAATTCCACGTTAGCATTAGGAATCTGAGAAGTGTCAACTGTCGGGTTTTATTCCTAAAGATGCCAAAAGGGCTTATTGGACATATGTGGAAGGCAGGAAGGACGGCGGGACAACGGGATCTACACAAGCATGGAAGGTGGGAGACTTGGGTTCAATTCCTGATACTGAGAGGTCCCCTGAGCACCAAGCCATGAGCAGATGCCTGAGTACCAGCGGAAGTTGCCCCCAAGCTAAAAACAAAAACAAAGGTCAAGTACTCAGAATAACCCTGAGTACTGCTCCAGGAGCGACCCCTAGAACAATATATAGAAATAAAAATATGAGTGCGATAAGTAAAATGCTTGTCTCTGCACCTGGCTGACCTGGGTTCAATATCCTGCACCGCCTATATTCCCCCATCCCAGGAATGATTCTCAGACCATAGAACCAAGAGTAGGCCCTGAGCACTGCTGGGTGTGGCCCCCAAACCAACCAAACAAACAAACAAACACAACGCATTTTGCTGCAGAAGCAGGATGAGAGACCCACCCCTGAGTTCCTTACCTGTCTCATCAATGAAAATCCCAAAGATACGCAGGATATTGGGAGAATCAAATTTCTTCATAGTTCTGATCTCCTTATTAAAAGTCTTTTTCACCATTCTAAAAGAACAAAAGGGGATATTAGGGTTTCAGGACTGTACAGGCTCTGGGAGAACATTAAGCACATTTAGGCTGACTGAGTCTGTGTATGAGGTATGAAGGGTTGTCGGGGTCTTCTGGCACTGTGATGAGCATAGCCACGAAGGGCAGCAGCAGCGTGTACTGACAATTAGACAACATCAACGAACCTCGAACGCTTGATGAGACCCTGACTTGGCTCCCTGGCACAACCAGGTGCAGACTCGATTTTCTTTTTTATAAAGTTTTTCATGGAGAGGATTCACAGGGCTGGAGTGCAAGCTTTGCCTGTGAGAGCCACATGAATGACCCCCAGCACCACATGGTCCTCTAGCACCACGGGAAGTGGCCAAAAGATAAACAAACTTGAAAACTATGCCAAGTGAAAGAAGCCAGATATGGAGACCACTTACTCTCAGACATGCACTGCACATCCAAACGAAGCTCTATATACCCACTGCGTGGATTGTGTAATCAAAAAATAAAAAGGTGGCGCGCGCTCTCTCTCCACGTGTGTTCGGTGGTTAAGGCCATACTCCCACTCCGGATGGCTGACAGCGATGGATAAAAGGAGGGTAAAATGGGAGGCAGGCTGGTTGGTGATCAGCTGTCATTTATCCCATTCTCCCCACATGCCTGTTCCAGTCTCACTAAGCTCCCCATTCCAAGCTAGTCTCTCGACGCTCTGTCTCTCAGCCTTGGTCTTGACAACCTCCAATACTTGGGGGTAGCAACCACACAGGTGAGGCAGCACAATCAACATATGTAAAGGCCCTTCCTTCCAGGAAGTGCTTCTAGGAGATCAGGAGATCCACTTAAGGGCCAAATACCATCAAGGAGTATGTTTCTCCTGTCCTAAGTCCAACAACCATAAACTATGCAAAGAACATAAGGGAAGGAGTCTGAGGCTGAAATGGAGTCATGACAGGCTCCACTTTAAGACCGAAACTCAACAGGCCTAAGTTTCAGTTCCCTCATCAGAAAGACCCGACTTCTCAAAGAACAATATCATTCTGGACAGGTAAGCAACACCATGGCAAGAACCTATCAGAATAGGGGACATGGGCAGTGGTGCCCAGCCAAGCAGAGAGGGCCGAGCGAATGGAGTCACAGGATGAACAGGGACCAAGAATTGGAAACATAATGTTGGTCCCTGAAGTCACAGGACCTGACAGGGACCAGAATTGAAAACATACTGCCAGTTCCTAGAAAAAAATGCTGTTATGTAACCAAACCCTATATAAGCTGCTCAGAATTCAGAGTCGGGGTCCTTGTCTAGGCTCCACTGCGTTGGATGAGACTTGGACCCTAACTCGAGCTAGCAATAAAGGGGCTTTGCATTTGCAGCCTCGCGCCTGGTCTGGTCAATGTGCGAGCAAAACTCCCTTCCCGGGACATAGCAGGAGGAAAGCAAGATTTCAGAGATTTCTGAGGAATTTGGCTTTACAAGTCACAGGGAGTGCTTAGGGGAAATGAGTGATTAACCAATAGAGAAAGCAGAGCACAGAGAAGTTAAAGATGAGTACCGAAACCTCTGATTCCGGAAGGCACGCCCACAACCCGCCCCCCCAGCGTCATCTTTACAGCACACAGCAACAAAGAAGAAAACCGCTGGGGGGGCTCCACAGCTCCCGGAGAATGCTCCAGGTCTCAAACAGAGCCAAGATCACCAGGAAGTCCCAGATGGGGTAGGTGCTGCATCCCGCCTTCTCCAGATGGAACCCCGGTGACCATGAGCCTCTACAAGCATAGCTCAGGCATGCGGGAACCAGGACATTTATTCCAAACCATGCAGCTGCATAAGCAGCCACGCGACATCTCCTTATATACAAAGTGATCAATGGAAAGTAAATCATCCAATGTTTCTCCCTGAAAATCAGGCTTAACTCTCTTGCAAACCACAACACCCAAAAGGAGAGAGAGAACAGAGGAGAATGCCCTGCCACAGAGGCGGGGGGATGGGGGGGATGGGGGTGATGGGGAGTGGGAGGGATACTAGGATCCGTGGTGGTGGGAAATAGGCACTGGTGGAGGGATGGGTATTCAAAATAAATAAATAAATAAATAAATAAAGTTTTTTTTAAAAAAGGTGAGTTCCGAGGAAATGGGAGTGCTTCAGGAGCATTGTGATGGGTATTACTCAATAAACCTAAGCTCCTAGTGGCAGAGGAGCAGGCACAAACCAATGTTATCCTACAGTGGATGAAGAGATGCCATGGAGACAGCTCAAAAGAATGCAGTATATGCTTTGCATTCTAAAGGCCCTAAGTTCAGGCTTGAACGTTCACAGGATGCCAAGTGCAACCACATGTGACCCTGGTGGCTCCCAGCACCGCAGGCTCTCAGCAGCACCAACCTGCCAGGCCTTTGCGTAAGGCCATCACTAAAAAGTGGCCCCCAGATCTGGGGAGGTTGCCTCAATACCCCCAGCTCCCAAGAAAAGTTAGGCTCTACCTAGTATTACAAATAATTCAAGAGGTTTTCAGGACTAAACATAAAAAAATTAAATTGTAGAGGTTGTTTTCCTGGGTTTCGGGGCCACATCTGGTAGTGCTCAGGGTTTACTCCTGGATCTGTGCACAGGAATCACTCTTGGCGGGACTCAGGAAACAACACAAGGAGACAAGAGATTGAACCCAGGTTGGCTGCGTGCAAGGCAAGCACCTTACCCACCGAACTATCTCTCTGATCTCCTCCTTGGCAAGAGTAAAGATGGTAAGTGATTCATGTCCACTTTATACAAGGATGTTCCACAAACTAGTGAGATAAAAAAAAAAAAACAGGAATTGCTGGGGCCGGAGTGATAGTACAATGGGGAGGGCATTTTGCCTTACACATGGCCAACCTGGGTTCAATCCCTGGCATTCCATATGGTCCCCCAGCACTGTCAGGAGAAATTCCTAAGTGCAGAGCCAGGAGTAACCCCCGAGCATTGTTTGGTGTGACCCAAAAAGAAAAAAAAAAGGTACCACAACTGTGATGGATGAAAGAGTAGAGGATGTGAACAGGGAATACACGGTAGCAGAAATGAAACAGGAGAAATTCCCAGTACTGGACACTTGGTATTTCTGAGTAAAGTGAGAATGCAGGAAGAACAAATCCATGCTGTAAAGGGAGAGGGACCAGAGTAATCGTGTAGCAGGTAGGGTGCTTGCCTTGCACACATTCAACCCAGGTTCGATTCCCAGCACCCAATATGGTACCCTGAGCACTGCCTGGAATGATTTCTGAGTGAAGAGCCAGGAGGAATCCTGAGCACCACCGGGTACATCCCAAAATCAAACACAAAAAGGGGGTTGAGGGCTAGCTTGTGTTGAGGCTCTGGACTGTGATACCTCAGTTATGGTTAGTTAGATCTCTGAGCTCTGGGGATGCAGCTTCCACAACAAAAAGGTTGAAACAAACTAGAAAGCTGGGTGATGTCACTAGTTGGTGGCACTTGGTCAAGAATCAAGCAAGCCTTGCCACTCTCCGGGGGGTTTACAGCCCTTTCTGAAGTTATTTAGTAATACTGGTCAATATCAGAGTCAATTTCAGACCCCAGATCTGATCCATCATTTCCACTCCAAAGAATACAGCTCAAAGAAATTCACACAGAAGCCCATTAGTGATGCTTGTGGGGTTTTATTTTAGGCCAAAGATGGAAATGCACTGGGTCCAGGGAGGAGCCATAATGCAGCGTGTAGTGCGTTTGCCTTGCATACGAGGACTCAGGTTTGATCCCCAGCACCCCAGAACATCCCCCTAGAACCGCCAGGAGTAATTCCTGAGTGAAGAGCCAGGAGGTACCTCTGAGCATGGCCTGGTATGACCCAAAAAGCCAAAAAAAGAAATGGATTGGGTTCCACCCCTAGATGCCTGGGTAAAGTATAGACTCCAACCAGACAGCAGCAGTCAGAAGGAAAGGGCTGCTGCGGGTACTGTTTCATAGAGCTGGGGAAAATGGGTGTATAAAGGGACTGGATAGTATTGGGGTGAAGGCATTTGCTCTGCATGGTATTGTGACTGACCTGGGTTCAATCCCCAAGACTGCAAGATCCCCTAAACACCTCTGGGTGCGACCCCAAAGATACTCTCCAACAAAAGAAAAACCTGAAAGTTCTCAAGAAAAGTTGGCCACAGACTTTGTGACATTTGGGCGCACTTCCACATGCTAACAACAAATACATTTCAGAACCCAGACTGTGTTTTCCTGGCCTTGGTGAAAGCCGCAGTGTACTCCCACAAGATAATAAATACAGCTTAGCCAAGCACAGTGTTATCTAGACAGGATGGGAAACTGACAAACAGGACCGAAAAGTACTTTTCAAAAGTATCTAAAAACCTCAACAAAGAAGAAAGTCTTTAGACTAGAGGCTGAAAGAGACAGAGGTGGTTTTTCCTTTGTTGTTGGCTTTAGGGTCACACCTGGCAGTGCTCAGGGTTACTATGGCCCTGCAGCAGTCACTCCTGCTGGTGCTTAGGGGACCAAATGGGGTGCCAGGGATCAAATTCGTCAGCTGCATGCAAGGCAATCACCCTTCCTATCGAACTACTTATCTAGCCCCTAGGCTAGAGCCTTAATCTCTATACCAGGCTTCTCTGTCACTGGAAGACATGCTTTGCTTTAAGTCTGGACTCATTTAACCAAACAGGTTAATGAGTTCCCGATCTAAATGAAGGTTTTATTTCTCTCTATTATTTTCCCTTTCTCTATTACAGGTAAGAAATTAAGCGATACAAAGTAATATGTGAGAGATTTCTATAAATATACTTACTCAACACTTTCCGCTTGGGACTTGAATACCTTTATGGCCACAGGAGAGTTATAGTATTCTCCTTGATAAATTTTGCTGGATTCATCTTCCCTTAGCAGGACCCATTCTCGTCCGGTAAGCTCCTCCTTCTTAATCTCCTTGATTGGTTCTTGTGGGGGCGCCCTCCTAGATTTCTGTATGACTGAACTCAGCCCAGGAGAGAAGGAGACAACAGCATATGAGCGGAGGAACGGGACCAGGAGCACAGACTCTGATCACACAGCCAAGGGAAGCCTCAAGGCTGGCCCAAAGCTTCAGAGGGCCAGCGAGGGCTTCAGAGCCTCAGAGTGACCAGCGGAGACACAGATGCTTCATAGGAAAGTAGTCAGGCATTGGGGCTGGAGAGATAGTACAGTGGGTAGGGCTCTTGCCCCGAAAACGGCCAATAGCCAATTCAGGTTCAATCCCAGGCATATTCCCCCCCAACCCCCGCCAGCCCCCAAAGCACTGTCAAGGAGTGATTCTAAGTGCAGAGCCAGGAGTAAGCCCTGAGTATCTCCAGGAATGCCCTCCCCCCAAACACACACACACACACACACACACACACACACACACACACACACACGTCAGGCGCTTCATTTCCCTCCTTCTAACTTGCGGCCTCTCCAACTTCCACTCATCTTTTTGTTCTCCCCACTCCTGCTGCCACAGACTCTGAACTGTGCACCACATTTTATCCTGTCATCTCCCATCTACTGGTTAGTTCCACAGCTCAAGTTCACTGACTCTGAGGCTATGTGCAGAGCTAGTCTTTCCCCAGACTGCCCAGGATGGGGGAGGGGGGGCTCGCCTTGCATCTATGAAGTTTGTCTTCATAAATTATATAATAAATATCAAAGGGGAGGGGAACATGAAAAAAAGAATAGGGGCTGGAGTGATAGCACAGTGGGTAAGGCGTTTGCCTTGCACGCAGCCGACCCGGGTTCGATTCCCAGCATCCCATATGGTCCCCTGAGCACTGCCAGGAGTGATTTCTGAGTGCAAAGCCAGGAGGTAACCCCTGAGCATCGCCAGGTGTGACCCAAAAAGCAAAAAAAAAAAAAAAAGAATAGTTTCTTTCTCTCTTTCTTTTTGCATCACACCTAGCAGTGCACAGGAGTTACTCCTGGCTCTGCACTCGGGAATTACTCCTGGCAGCGTTGGGGGACCATCTGGGATGGATGCTGGGAATCGAACCCAAGTTGACCGCGTGCAAGGCAAATGCTCTATCCACCGTGCTATCGCTCCAGTCCCTAAAAAGAACATTTTCAAAGAGATGGAAAAGATGGAAAGGCTACCCTCCTATTATGGTTCCAATTATTCAGTTGAATAAAAAGGGGGCAAGAAAAACAAAGAAAAGAGATGAAAGAGCAAAGAAGAGACAAAAGAATGTATATATTTTTCAAAAACAGGATGTCTTTCTTGTTGCTTTTTAGTAGGTCACTGCAGGAGTAAGCTGCTGTGTCTCAGAACAAAAATGGGGGGAGGAGAGACATCCAAAAAGGGAGGTGGCTGGGCCAGAGTGGTAGCACAGCAGGGAGGGCGTTTGCCCTGCACGCGGCCAACCCAGGTTCGATCCCCAGCATCCCACGTGGTTCCCTGAGCACAGAGTAATTCCTAAGTACAGAGCCAGGAATAACTCTTGAGCATCACTGGGTGTGGCCCCAAAGCTCAACCCCACCCCCCACCCCCCAAAAAAGGGAGGTGGCCTGTGACCAGATTCCTAGCAGTCTATTTTCGACCCCTTCCCTCCTCCACACTGCCGGGATCTGGAGTATGCAGATACTCCCTGATGTACAGGAGCGAAAGCAACATCTACAGTTCGATGCGAAATGCTGTCTCGAGCAGCGAGGTCCATGGTGTGGTGCCAGCCTGTAGGTGCAGGAAGGCCTAAAAATCCCGATGCTTAGTGGTGCCAATCTAAGGACCAGATGCAGGGCAGGAGCCAGTCAGGTGGAAAAAGGTTGAATAACGCTACCCTGGGGACATTTCAACAGATTGATGGGCTCCAGAATAGGTTCAGACAAAAGCTACTCCTTGCCATCAGCGCATATCACCCCCTGGCTACTTCTGGCCCAGCCCAAAAGGCAGACAAGGAACTGGGGGAGACGATTTCCGGAAGAAGCCTGGGAGAGGCTGCGGCAGTCAGGTCGGCTGGGCACCAGATAACTCACCCTCCAAGTTTTGCAAGGCTATCTTCAGGGCTTTTCCAAGTTCCGTCAAGGCTGCTTCTCCCGATTTGCTTTCTGCAGAAAAAGAGCAGCAAATAGTCAAAAACCGAAATGCAGGAAAAGAAAAGACAGGAGAGGACGTCCATCTGCAGCACTGCTCACGAATTTTCAGCTGTTTCCTTCTAGCACAATAGCAGTTCCCTGAAATAGGACTGGGAAAAAAATGTCGGCCTCGCTTATCATCATCAAATCAAAGCAAGGAAGATACCGTCTCATGCCAGTGCCCCTGGCTCACATCACAAAGAACAACATCAACCAGTGTCAGCATGGATGTGGAGGAACAGGGACCCTCATTCACTGCTGGTGGGAATGGAAACTGGTACCAACCTCTTTAGAAAATAACGCAAACATTTCTTTTCTTTTCTTTGGAGGGGGACTGTTAAACTCGGCAATGTTCAGGGGTCACTCCTGGCTCTGCACTCTGGAATTACTCCTGGTGGTGCTCTGGGGACCATATGGGATGCCCGGGTGTGAACCCAGGCCAGTCGCATGCAAGGCAAGTGCCCTCTCTACTGTCCTATCACTCCAGTTCAATGTGCACATTTCTTAAAACACTAGGAATTGAGCTTCCATAGGACCCAGCAATTCCACTTCCTGGCATCTACCCCAAGGGTTCAAAAACCATTCAGAAAAGATATTTGTACTTCTTATGTTCACTGCAGCAGGATCTACAATGATTTAAATCTAGAAATAGGAGGCCAGAGCAATAGTACAGTGATTACGGTGCTTGTCTAGCATACGGCTGACTTGGGTTAGATCCCCAGCATCAAATATGGTCCCCCTGAACAAAAAGTAACAAAATAGGAGACTAACACCCAAGAATATCCAAGATAAGTACCAGGACGTTTACTCCATGGCTTGGAGGCCGCCGCACACGCTAGGGGAAAAGGCAGCTCAGATAGAGAAGGGAGCACCAAATAAAGGGTGTTGGGAAGATCCGTCCAGGATGGGAGATGCATGCTGAAAGTAGACTATAGACCGAACATGATTGCCACTCAGGCCTCTTTTGCAAACCACAGCAACCAAAAGGAGAGAGAGAACAAAAGGGAATGCCCTGCCACAGGGGTGGGGTGGGATGGGGAGGATCGGGGGTGGGAGGGATACTGGGAGCATTGGAGGTGGAGAATGGGCACTGGTGGAGGGATGGGTACTCAATCATTGTATAACTGAAACCCAAGCACAAAAATTTGTAAGTCTACAACTGTACCTCATGGTGTTTCACTAATAAAAATTTAAAATATATATATATGGTCTCCCGAGGACAGCAAGGAATAATTCCTTGGTGGAGAACCAAGCGTAAGCCTGAGCATCGCCGGGTGTGGCCCCCAAAGTCAATAAATAAATCTGGAAACAACCCAAGAACAGATGACTGGATAAAGAAACTGTGGTGCATATACACGCTGAAATGCTACTCGGCTTCGAGAAAAGCTGAAATCATGCAATTTGCTCCCTCATGGATGTTCGATATGCCAAACACAGTAACAACTAAGTCTCCAATGGAGAAGTTACTGGGCCTGTTCGAGCAAATCGATGAACAACAGGAGGACAGTGACAGTGACAGTGATGGATGTGGAGAGTATCATACTGAGTGAAGTCAGTCAGAAGGAGAGAGACAGAGAATGAGCTTTCTCATAGGTGGGATACAAAGAAACACATGCCCAAAGGCTGCAGAAATTGAGAACTTGCCTTCAGTAGGAAGTACTGGGACAATGCAGAGGGAAGCAGACCCTCGAGGAGGCGGGGAAATGTTTTATGCACGGAGCCCTGCCATTATCAGTATTGTAAACCACAGTGGCTAAAACTTAAACAGAAAAAGAAATGAGTAAGAGGCTGGAGTGAGGGCTCAGAGAGCTGGAGCACTTGTTTTGCATGTCGGAGCCCAAATTGATCCCCCATACCTCATGATCTCCTGGGCTTCTGGGAGAACCCTCCAGCACAGAGCTGGGGGCTGGGGTTTGGCAAAGACCAAAAAATAAAATTCAAATTGAATGAGAGAAAAATGGGACAATGAAGCCCATTATTTTTGACATGGCACTATCTAAAGCATATCTGGAAAGAAAAAGAAAAAGAGAGAGCAGAGAGAGCAAGAGAGCAAGAGAGTGAGAGCAAGAGAGAGAGAGAGAGAGAGAGAGAGAGAGAGAGAGAGAAGAAATGTCAAGGAGGTTCAAGTCCCTATCAAGGTGCCAAGAAATGAAACTTCCTGGAAGGAAACTCGCTCCCTTGGTGAGTGTCCTGGGTTCAGCCCAGATTTGCCCAGATTTGAGTTTTCTATGGTTCTTTTGGCATTTGGGGCGACAGTGGTACTCAGAGCGTGGAGGTGGGCTCCTGGGAGGTTGAGATCAAACCAGGGGCCAGTCCAGTCACCCAAGACATTTCTCCAGCCCAGTCTGTTGTATGTATTATTTATTTTAAATTTTAAGCCATACCTGGCTGTCCCAGGGGCCTAGTCCTGGCTCTCCTCTCAGAGATCACTCCGGGTGGGATTCAGGGGACCATACGGGGTGCGGCGGAGCAAACTCGGTAGGCACATGCAAGGCCAGCGCCTTACAGCTGCACTATCTCTCCAGACCCTTGATTTTATTTATTTATCTGTTTTATTTATTTATCTATTTTATTTATTTTTTTTTTGCTTTTTGGGTCACACCCAGCAATGCACAGGGGTTACTCCTGGCTCTGTGCTCAGGAATTACCCCTGACGGTGCTCAGGGGACCATATGGGATGCTGGGAATTGAACCCGGGTCGGCCGTGTGCAAGGCAAACACCCTACCCGCTGTGCTATTGCTCCAGCCCCTTGATTTTATTTTTGTTCGGAGGCACTGCCAAAGAGGCTCCAGCTAACCCTGGCTCTGTGCTCTGGGGTGACCCCTGGTGGTGCAGTGTTGGGGGCCCCCCCACGAAACACAAGACAAGAACCTTAATCCTGTGCTCTCTCTCCAGCACCCCCCCCCCCCCACTGTTGCTCAGTTCACAGCAGAGTCTAATATACCCGGATCCATACACTCATAAACATGTTTAGAAATTGAGGGGCCAGGTGGGGCTCAAATAAAAAGCACGGGCTTGATGCCTGACACTACGAAAATAGGAGAAAAAGAATGATCGTAAATACACATTTAGGGCCAGAGTGCTAGCACAGGGGACAAGGCACTTGTCCTGCACACAGCTGTCCCGAGCTCAATCACAAACACCACAAATGGTCTCAAAATTACTTCCAGGAGTGATCCCTGAGCGTAGAGTCAGGAATAAGCCCTGACAACTGCTAGGTGTGACCCCAAAACCAGGGGGGAAAAGTACTATATACGCCCGATTGAGAAGGGTTCGATTCCTCCGCCCCTCTCGGAGAGCCCGGCAAGCTACTGAGAGTATCTCGCCCGCACAGCAAAGCCTGGCAAGCTCTCCGTGACGAATTCGATATGCCAAACACAGTAACAACAAGTCTAAAAAATGGAGATGTTACTGGGCCCGCGCAAGCAAATCGATGAACAATGGGAGGACAATGACAGTGACAGTGATAGTGACGCTGGTCATTTATCTGGCTCATGAAGATCCCATAATACAGGAGAGGTTTATGGATATTTTTATGGGAGAATATTTAAGATCAGTGGGTGAGAAAAGCAGGAAACGAAACTGTAGTTTTTAGTATACTATTGTGAAACAACAGATGTAATTACTTAAATCTCCCCGGAGGTCACTCAACACACTGGTAAGAGATCACATCTGGGTTGGAGAGAATGCCCAGTTTGAAGCCATTTGCCTTGCACGTGGCTGACTCCCGTAAGATGCCCAGCACTGCATGTGGTCACCCTCCTCCAGCAGTGCCAGGAGTGACCCCTGGGCATTTCAAGGTACAGCCCAGATTCTGCCCCACCCCACCCAGAAAAAAAGAGAATGACTACATCTGGAAATGGGCCCTTAAGGTCAAAGATAAAAGGGAGATTTACATCCCCTGCTGGTACTTTTTGCTAGTTAACTAATGAATTCTGGGGCTGGAGTGATAGCACAACGGGTAAGGCGTTTGCCTTGCACGTGGCCTGACCAGGGTTCGATTCCCAGCATCCCATATGGTCCCCCAAGCATGGCCAGGAGTAATTTCCTGAGTGTATGAACCAGGAGTAACTCCTGTGCATCACTGGGTGTGACCCAAAAAGCAAAAAAAAAAAAAAAAAAACTCTAATGAATTCTTTCTCCTTAGTAATTGACAATCTTTTTTTTTTTCTTTTTGGTTCACACCCGGCGATGCACAGGAGTTACTCCTGGTTCATACACTCAGGAATTACTCTTGGCGGTGCTCGGGGGACCATATGGGATGCTGGGAATTGAACCTAGGTCGGCTGCGTGCAAGGCAAATGCCTTATCTGCTGTGCTATTGCTCCAGCCCCATAATTGACAATCTTAACAGAAGGGCCCTGGAAGAAAAATAAGACTTAAAGGAATTTGCTTCTAGAGTTCCTGAGACCCATGAATGAGAACGGAGAGGCAAAGAGAGGCTCAGTCAAATTCCCCAGGCCTCCAATGGCCTCCCTAACCTTCACCTCCTCTCCCCATGCCCGGCCCAGGTCACATAAAGACACCCGCTCAACGCTTTCTTCCCTCCTGCTGCTCTGGCAAATCCAGGAGAGACCGAAAGGTGCCCGTCCACACTTACCCTCCTCAATGGCTCGACTGTCGTCCTCTGCGTCCTGCTGGTCTTCCTCTGGCCAAGAGGTCCTGTGGCTAGTGCCGGTCAGCAGCAGGAGCTGATGCGTCTGGAGCGTGAAGGACAGCTGCTCCCAGGCGTGGCTCAGACTCGTATTCACATCTCCGAAGAGGATTTTGTTTTGGTTTGCTCTTATAAACTTCTCGATGTTAGACCTCTTGCTGAACTTTTCCACCTGCTGCTTTGCTTCCTCAAGGACAGCATGGAAGCCGTCGAGGGCGGCCACTACATCGGGGGCCAGGCACACCTCTCCCTGGGCCTGCAGCTTCTGCAGCGGCTCCAGCAGGCCCCTGACCCGGTGCGCCAGGCGCTTGCACTGTTTCTGGCCGTATTTCATCTCGTCACACATTTTGTAGATTGACTTGGCCACAGAGAAGATATTCCCCAATGAAGTCATACCTGGAGGAAACTCAAAGGATTTTGTTAAGTTCCAGAATTTCCTGTAAATTTAGTGTGTGTGTGTGTGTAAGAGGTGTGTGTGTGTGTGTGTGTGTGTGTGTGGGCGCGCACACACTCATGCTGCCTTTGTTTTGAGACCACACCTGGTGATGCTCAGGACATCCCTCAAGCTCTGTACTTAGGGATCATTCCTGGTGGGGAGTGGGGGGCCATCTTAGAAACTTAGAAACTTCAGGGCTGGAAGCACAGCAGGTAGGGCGTTTGCCTTGCACGCGGCCGACCCGGGTTCGATTCCCAGCGTCCCATATGGTCCCCTGAGCACCGCCAGGAGTAATTCCTGAGTGAGAGCCAGGAGTAACCCCTGTGCATTGCCAGGTGTGACCCAAAAAGAAAAAAAAAAGAAAAAAGAAACGTAAGAAACTTAGAAACTTCTCGATATTAGACCTCTTGCTGAACTGGGCCCTTAAGGTCAAAGATAAAAGGGAGATTTATTTCCTCTGCTAGTACTTTTTGCTAGTTAACTCTAATAAATTCACCCTGTATGGGGGACCATACAGGGTGCCAGGAATCAAGCCTGGGTCCGCTATATGAAAGGCAAATTCCCTACTTTCTGTACTATCATTCCAGCCCCTGTAGATTCATTATTGGGCTAAGGGAACACCAGTAGCTTCTGTGACTGATTTTTTGGTTTGTTTTTAGGTCATGCTTGGCAATGCTCAGGAGCTACTCCTAGCTCAGTGCTCAGGGCATTACCAGTGCTGGGGATTGGACTGGACTTCCAGCATGCAAAGTTTTGCACTGGTCCTTTGAGCCATTTCCCAGGTGTATGGCTGTCACTACCACCCAAGGTAGTGGTTGGGGCTTCTTCCTGGTTCTGTGCTCATGGATCACTCCTGGCAGGGATCAGGGGTGGGACGGGATGCTGGCATCAAACCTGGGTCAGTCTGGTACAAGGCAAACGATCTAAGGCTGTACTATTGCTTTGGCCCCTCTCCATCATTTTCATGTAAAGCAGAGATGGCTGGACTGCCCACAAACTGTTCTGCTCCGTTGAAGGAGTCAGCCCAGAAAGGCTCAGGCTTCCTTATGGCTCACGTGGCCATGTGACTCATTTCCACCAATGGGTGTGTGCGGATAGGGTCAGTGCTCCTTCCAGCTGGGGCAGGAAGTCTTTCTTCCATAGTCAGTTGGTGCCAGAATGTTGTAACTCTGGGGGTTGGGGGTGTGGGTGGGGAAGCTCTGAGAAGGAAGGGAAGAAGACCAAGGAGGCAGAATCCTGACCCCTGCATCTCTGCCGGGGGAAGAACTGCACACAGACCCAGAACTTCAGCCATGGACTGCTGAGGAAGAAAGTAATAAACATCCTCCTTTGGTAATAATAAACAACCCATCCTATTTGGGTTAAATCTCTTCAGCCTATTCTAACAAATACATCCTGCCAAAATACAGAGGTGACTCTAGGATGGTGGCGGAGGAAAGTTTGGCTCTGTCTAAAGAAGGCTGGGGGGGCTGGAGAGATAGCACAACGGGCAGGGCGTTTGCGTTGCAAGCGGCCAACCCGGGTTCGATTCCCAGCATCCCATATGATCCCCTGAGCACCGCCAGGAATAACTCCTGAGTGCAGAGCCAGGAGTAACCCCTGTGCATCGCCAGGTGTGACCCCCCCAAAATAAATAAATAAATAAAATAAAAAATAAAGAAAGAAAGAAGGCTGGGGACTCCCGTCTAGGCACCAACTCTTCAAAAATCAAGAGTCCTGGCTGGGGCGCATGCCTTGCATGCATAGTGTGTCCCTCATCATCAGGAGGGACCCCTGCATAGAGCCTTGAGTAGCCCCTGAGTACTGGCCCCACATGGCCCAACATCCAGAAAGAGAGCTGAAATGGAAAAAAAACGTAAGGTGACAAGGTACAAAGCTGGCCAGGGCTCCCAAATGTAAAACTAACCCAACAGTTTCACTAAAGCTCCCAGTGGTGGAGGTGGTGGTGGGAGGCGACCCTCCTGAGGACGGCCCCACTGCACCAATGAATGGGAACACCCCAACGAGCAAAATCGCAAAATCCCAACTCCCAGGGGTGTATCTGGGTATTGAAACCAAAACCACTTTTTTAAAAGTAATAGTGTGGGGGCTGGACCCATGTGAAGGACAGGGCGCTTGCCTTCAAAGCGGTGGGCCTGGGATTTAAAATCCCGGGCGCCCCTCTAGTCTTCAGGTCTCTCCCCAGGAGTGATTCCTGGATGCAGAGCTGGGAATAACCCCGGGGCATAGCCGGGTGTGAGCCCCGAACCAAAATAAATGAAGTAAATACAAAAATGAACCAAGCTGCGGGGCGGGGGTGGGAGAGGAGGAAGAGCACGACCAGCCTCGGTCATTTCCCACCTGACCCCCGAGAGTTCGCCCCCTCTAGGGCTACTTGCAAAAGCGCCCCCTCGACCTCACTGCCTCATGTCTTTTTACGCCAGACAGTGCAGAAAGTTCCAGCAGGAAGACAAGAAACGAAACCAACCAACGCACGGGGAATTCCGTCACCAGAGGCGGGCCGGGGGGCCTCCCCGCGCGCCCACCCGGGGCTCCCGCCGCCCCGACGGCGCGCGCTCACCTGCGTCCCCGCCGGCCGGGCTGTCCGCGCCGTTCCAGAACACACCAACGCCGCCGGGGCGAGGTCTGCGCATGCGGGGGATTCCCAAGGCCCGGGAGCGGCCGGTGGTGGTGGGGTGCGGTGGACGCCACTCCCGCTGGTTTCCAAAGCCCGAGCCCCGAGGCCACCGCAGGGAGCCAGTCCCCGCCCCAAGCGCGGTGGGAGGGCGGAGGGCGAAGCCCTGCCCGTTAGCGCCCACGTCTTCCCACTCCCCCGCCTCTACCCGCGCCCCCCCTAAACACTCCCCCAGCTCTGCTGCCCACCCCCAGCACGGGGGGGCCCTAGGACCCCTAAGTGCTCAGAGAGCCCCTCCTTCAGTCCCTATGGGAACCTCCCCCTGGCTTTGGCACACTGTCACCTCCCCTGATTCACTCCCAGGGAGTCTGGGGTCTCTCCTCTGCTGGGGCTTGAGTTAAGAAGCGGGAAGTTAAGTTAAGAAGGGGGGAGTCTGTGAATTAAGACGGTAAGGGCAGAGTTTGGGGAGAGCACGGGGAGCAGAACACGGTGGGAGCCCTGGAGAGGCTACTTACATTCTTCTTCTTATTGTAATTTTTGCCTTTTGGGTCACGCCTGGCGATGCTCAGAGGTTACTCCTGGCTCTGCACTCAGGAATTACACCTGGCGGTGCTCAGGGGACCCAGGGATCAAACCCTGGTGGGCTGCATGAGAGGTAACCGCCCTCCCTGCTAGACTATCTCTCTTACCTTAATTTTTTAATCGAATCACCAAAGATACAAAATTATCCATGATTGAGTTTCAGGCATACTATGTTCCAACAGCAGTTCCTTAACCAGTGTCCTCTTCCCTCCACCAATGTCCCCACTTTTCCTCCAAACCCCCCACCCCCAGCCTGCGTCAATGTTTTCTTCGTTTTCTTTTTCCTTGAAGATGTGGGGAGCAGGAGATCACTCAGGTGAGTCGTGCAGTTTAGGTTTGAGGTGACTCAGCCCGGAGTGGGCAGGGTGTCATTCATCAGCTCATCTGGGATGTTTTTATCTGAAAAGGCAGCATGAGGTTACTGGGGGCACTGGGCTGGACGATCAGGCTGAGGATGTTCCCGCCTCCGCCGCCCCCCCCCCACTTTTCCCTTGAATCCTCCTGGACACCAGCCCCCTTGTGGGGACCCTGGCACTTTCAATTCTGCTGCCTTTGTGTGTCTCTGCACCAGCTTTCCTCCAGTACTTTCTTTCTATTGTGAGCGTATAGTTTACGGAATATTATCCATGGGAATTTTTAAAAAAAATTTTATTAGTGAAACACCATGAGGTACAGTTGTAGACTTACAAATTTTTGTGCTTGGGTTTCAGTTGTACAATGATCGAGTACCCATCCCTCCACCAGTGCCCATTCTCCACCACCACTGATCCCAGTATCCCTCCCACCCCCATCCCCCCATCCCACCCTGCCTCTGTGGCAGGGCACTCCATGGGAATTTTTTTAGGTTTTGATTTAATTGCATTTCCCCACAGAACTCGTGGCTTCTGAGCCCCCGTGTCTCCACCAGCCAGGGCTATTTACATTTGAAAAAAAAAAATACATTTGAGAGAGGGGCTTGAGAGACAGTGTAGGGTTCATGTCTCTCAAGCATAGCCAAGAATGAACCCTAAAGCTAGAGTCAGTGTAGGGGCTGGAGTGATAGCACAATGGGAAGGACGTTTGCCTTGCACATGGCCGACCTGGGTTCGATTCCCAGCATCCCATATGGTCCCCTGAGCACGGCCAGGAGTAATTCCTGAGTGCATGAACCAGGAGTAACCCCTGTGCATCACTGGGTGTGACCCAAAAAGCAATAAATAAATAAATAAATAAATAAATAAATAAAATAAAGTTAGAACCAGTGTAAGCCCTGGGCACTGTAGGGCATAACCCTCCCCCAGATATGCGGGGCAATTCCCAGGGGCTGCTCCTGGCTCTGTGCTCAGGGGTCACTCCAGGTGGTGCTCAGGGAACCATGAGCTTCCAGAGACTGGAACAGGGATGGCCCCGTGCCAGAAAAATGCTTGAACGTCTGTCCTATGCATCTGGCCCACATTCAAAATTGTGACTCATTTCAGACTGTCCAGTTTGGAAGAACTCAGGTCTCGCCACTTCCTGCAGGCGTTTGGCGCCCATTCTCCTTCCTGTGCAGTGCCCAGGGACAGCAGGCTTAATCCCGGTTCACTCCTGCATGGAGGCGACTGCCTTTGGTCTGTTGCGAATGGTGCAGTCCTGCCCGCTCCCCCTGTCCTGTCCCCCTCTGGCCCTCGTGAACACCATCAGTGCTGAGGACAGCGACAAGTTCTGGCAGACAATTCCCAGCAGTTTCCCTAAACCTGAGCTGACAGCACCCCGCTTCTGGCACGCATAACTGCCGTCTGCTTTCACACCAGGACCCCTGGCAAGGCCAAGGAATCCAGTGGGCTTGGGTGGGCTTGCCTGAGAGACAGTCCACAGCGAGAGCGGCCACACTCCTGAGAACAGCGCTCAGCTTTTAGGGGAGGAGACGGGCGGGTTCATATCTCAATCTCCTGACCTCTGACTGGACATTTCCGGGAGCCCTCCTTCAGACCTCCCTGCAGAGAACCCCCCCCCCCGTTCCATTCCCATGGGATCCCCCGGGTCTGATCCAAAAAGCAAAACTAAATTAAATAAATAAATAAATCCCCCACATCCCCCTCTGGACCTCCTGGTCTCCTTATTTCCATGCTTGCCTCCTACTTGTGCTAGTTTGGGATGGTTATTGCTTTGTAGGTAACCTAAACGATGACAGAGTCCCACCTCCTTGCGTTCTGAAAACAAAAACGCTTGCTTGCTTCCTTTTTATTTCTCTGCTTCTTGTGGGTGGGGAGGGAGTCGTGCCTGGTGACGCTCAGGGGCCACTCCCAGCTCAGTGGTTGATCCTAACAGGGCCTCATGAGACCTGAGTGTCCCTGCAGGTCCCAGCAGCATATGCTCCAACCTTCTGAGCCATCTCTCCAGCCCCTTCCTTTTTTTTTTTTTTTTTGGTATCTCCTTTTCCCTGTTATAAGCTCATAATGCATATGAGGAAGAGTGATGATGAGAGTTTGGGAATCTCCCAAATTCCTCCCTCATTCAGCAACTTCCTTACACAAACAATCGTATTCATTGTGTAGTGTCATCTAACTAACTGGAAAGGAAGCTCCAGTCGAATTGTTTTTTCCTTCTTATTTTTATTTATTGAATCACTGTGGGAAAAGTTACAAAGCTTTCAGGTTTAAGTCTCGGTCATACAATGATCAAACACCTTTCCAGTCACAGTACTCATTTTTCACCACCAAGAACCCCAACATACCCCTCACCCCTCCCAATGCCTGTGAGGCAGATGATTTCTACTTAACTCTTCTCTACATTGATTATATTCATTATTTCGATGAAAGATGCACCATTATTGTTTAGAATTTCCCCCCCAACAATCAGAATTGCTGAAAAGGCGTTGTGAAATACTTTGTTTTCTATAGCTGGCTATGAGAATCATATAATGATTTTGGATTTCTGCAAAGAGACAGATAGTTACAAGATTGGTTTCTGTGTGTCCGGTGTTATGGGTGTGCCAGAGAGCCACTCGTGGGGGGCAACTCGTGACCTCAGTAGGGCATAAAGGACGACCTGGTACCGTCCCCCTTCCCATGAGACTGCAGTTGCCCTGTCACCGCCGGCTCATAATTGGCTTTCCAATAGGCTCTGAGGTGGCGGCCACCTTGCTGCTAGGGGGTGGGGGGAGGCGGAAGGGAGCAACACCCTTTCCCTCTTGGGGAGGCATGGCACCATCGTTTAACGCATGGTCCATTCACTTTTCTGCAGCAAGCTGCCGGGCTCTGGGTTAAGTCCTTTTGCCTCTGGAGCCATGGCCGTGCCGGAGAGCTGCTCATGAGGGGAAACTCATGACCTTGGTAGGGTGTTCCAGTCAAATTTTTTTTCTTTTTGGGTCACACCTGGCAACGCACAGGGATTACTCCTGGCTCTGCACTCAGGAATCACCCCTGGCAGTGCTCAGGGGACCATATGGGATGCTGGGAATCGAACCTGGGTTGGCCGCGTGCACGGCAAATGCCCTACCCGCTGTTCTATTGCTCCAACCCCTCCAGTCGAATTTTTTTTGCAGCTATCCAATCTTTATGGAAATAAGCTGGAACATTCACATACGCTAAGTCCAGCTTCCAGCATATATTATATGCACCGTAGCACTGTCTTTCCCTTGTTCATTGATTTGCTCGAGCGGGCCCAGTAACGTCTCCATTGTGAGACGTGTTTGGCATATTGAATATGTCATGGGGAGCTTGCCAGGCTTTGTCATGAGGCATACTTGGTAGCTTGCCGGGCTCTCTGAGAGAGGTGGAAAAATCGAACTCGGGTTGGCCGGGTCGGCCGCGTGCAAGGCAAACTCCCTACCTGCTGTGCTATCACTCCAGCATTATGTATTCATATAATTCATATATTATATGAATATATTCACATAACTGTGAATGAGAAAAGGATAACCCAATAGAACAGAGGAGGGTGGGGAAAGGTGGGAATTTTACAATCACAGACATCTGGTTTTGTTAGTGTCGACGTGGGCTTGGAGAAACGACACTGCATGTGGCTGAGAGCACCTGCCTTGCAGGTGTATAACGAGTTCAGATCCGCATTGTCCAGCATGTCGGCCAGCCCTGCAACCTGCCATCCTCTGCACCACAAGAGATTCCCAACAACTCCCTGCCCTTACCCCAAAGTCATTGAATATCAACAACAAGGAAGGGAAGTGGGGAGAGAGAGTAGAAGAAAGAGGTTACTAACATCCGTTGTAAGGGGGCAAAGTTGCATGTGATCAGCAGAGGGCAGCAGAGATCAGGGAAAGCCCTGGAAGCCGCACCCTGTGTATGGAATCTGCAGAGCTAAATCCTCCAGACGAGGCCAGCATTTATTGGACGGTTACAAGCTGGGCAAGAAATCTTGCTAAGTGTCAGGGCAGAGATCAGAGGAAAGAGGCTACAGCAGACCCAGACAGAGCAGAGAGGCTCTTCTCCAGGTGAGATGGGAATCCCCTGGGGAGGGCATACTTAGAAATGAATACGTAATGCCCAAAATAAGCTAGTGTCTCTGGGCCTCCCCCTGTCAGGCAGTGGTCAATGCCTGTGGAGCAGGAGAGGTGGTCAGCCTGTACCTTTATTCTGGTGAGAGCTCAAGAGGTTCTTTACCTGAACAAACAGGAGGCAGTCTTCACTGTGGTGCCTTTTCCTCGCAGAAAGAAGCATAGCTATCTCAAAAGCTGAGTGCACATGCTTTGTGTGTGGGAGACCCAGGTTTGATACTTGGTACCATGCAGTCTCCAGAGCATCCTCAGGAGTAACCCCTGAGCATAGAGTACTGCCCAGTGTAACCCTTTTTCCCCAACGAAAAACCACAAACAGCAGAGGAAATAAACAAAATCACGTGCCCTAAATTCTAGGCTTTTCCTTTTAAGCCAGATGCAATGGCTTCCCGGAACTGTCCCAGACCTACCTATGTTACCATACAGTCTATGAAAGCTACCAAAATCTATCTCATACTCTGTGATGCAATTCTCTTGATTCTAGGCCAGAGATTTAGGCTCTTGTCACGCACGCTGTGGACCAGGTCCCCTGAGCACTCTTCAGAGTAATCCCTAGGGCCCAGACCCATACTACAGCAGAGAGGGCATTTACCTTGCAGGGGTTCAATCCCAGGTATTCCATATGGTCCCTTGAGCCCACCAGGAGGGACCCCTGAGTGCAGAGCCAGGAGTAAGCCCTGAACACAGCTGGGTGTGCCCCACCCCCAAACGACTGAGACCTGAACACTTCTGGGTGTCTCTCCCCCTCACCCAAGCCACCCTCCACACACAGGATACTGGGGATAATCTGTCCAATATTAACCCCAGAATGATCTTTTTACTAATAGACTGGCTTAGTTTAGTGGTGCTTCTCCTCCTAAAATCTCTTCCCCCAAATCTTCTCATTATCATGCTATAAATTTACTCAGATTTTGGCATTTGGGTGGAGGGTGCCAGACCACCCCTGGAAGTTAACCAGGCATCCTAGGGGTGATAGGAACCATATGATGCTGGGCTCAAACCCTGCATGCAAAGTACGCACTCTGGTCCTTTCCGCCATCTTTCCAGCCCCAAACTTGGGCCTTGGGTGGATGGATGTACTGTACTCAGGAATAATTTTGGACCCTGTGCTTGGCAGTGACCCCTAGTGGTGCTCACGGGACCCTGTGTGGCCAAGGATTCAAATCAAGGTCAGCTGTATGCAAGGCAAGTGATCTTACCTCTTGTACTATCTTTCTGACCCAAATTTTTCAGTTTTATTTTGTGTTGGTTTTGACTTTGGGACCACACCCAAAAGCTGTGCTCAGTGCTTATTCCTGGCTCTGAGCTCAGGGATAATTCCTGAGAGGACTTCGGGGACCATACCCTGTGCCAGGGATCAAACTCTGGTTGGCCATGTGCAAGACAGATACCTAGCACTCTGCACTAAATCCCCAACCCAATTTGGGCATTTGAAAGGTAGCTTTGTTTCACTCTTTTTTATAGGTGTTTTTCAACATAAATTTTTTGCTTAATCTTGACTTTCCTCTGGTGGGTTGGCACCATTAGTGGGTCTCTTCCTTTTTATTAGTTCCTTCCCCTTTTTGTGGGGGCGCTCCTGGCGGTGATGGGGCTCTTGCATGCAAAGCACGAGTACACTTTGAGTCATCTCTCGGCCACTTTCCTGCCTCTTGGGGTGTGAAGCTGCCTGGTTGGATCTCCAGTGCCATTGAGGAAAGGGAAATGAGGCTTTCTTTGCTTGAATGGGCTGGATTCCAGTGATGCCTTCCAGGCACTGGAGGGAAGGATGGGTCAGGCTCTAGGCACCACTTACCTTCAGGCTATGGTGAGGCCTTCAGGCTCCCAGAGCAGGATGAGTCAGCAGGGAGAGCCTGGGGCTCTATATTGCCAGCGGCAGCTCACTTCTTTTGCTTTAGCATTTGTGGCTAGCTTGCTTTCCGCCCCCTAAGACAGGGGTGGGGAGGGCGGGCATCCAGGCCCTACCCTGCCACACCTACTGAACTAAGACAGAGTGCTGAGCAGTTCCCCAGGGCCCCCAATTCGTCCCAATTCCGATGAGCCAGCTTGAGGGAATGTCCTGAGAAATGGTTTCATGTCGATTGAACTGGCTGGAAGTGCCCGTTTCCATAATGGGCATAGGCACTGGGGACTGCCCCCAGCCTATACTAAGTCAACTGGAAACTTCGCTGGGGTGTAACTGATTCCAGGAGAAACGTCTCTGGTGTATCCCTGCGGTAGGCAGTGGTGCCACCCCTTCCCACCAAGTGCAGGTCAGAAGGGGAGATGCTGTCTGTGGAGAATGCCACATAATAATAATAAAACCAAGGGAAAAAAACCTGGCCCCCTGCGCCGTGTAATCCCATCAACGGCCAAGACCCAGAGACTATAAAACCCAGCTCCTGGAAGTGCGCGGCCACATTTGCAGCCGTGCAACATCTTACTATCTCATTCTAACTTTGGACAACCTGGCAGGCTACTGAATGTAACCTGCCCACACGGCAGAGTCTGGCAAACTCTCCATGGCGTACCCAATATGCCAAATACCAGTAACAATGATGGGTCTCATTCTCCTAAACCTGATAGCGCCTTGAATATGGCACTTTTTAAAATCTCAGGGCTAAGACGAAGGAGACCTTACTGGGGCCTGCTCGAGGCAATCAACGAACAACAGGATGATCGTGATCGTGATTATCATCGGCCCCAGGAAGGTGACACAATCTGATTATTGAGCCAACACTGCCCCCTACCTAAACCAGCCCAGTCTTAAGAATGTCCGGCCATTCTGACAAGCAGCAACTAATCTTGGGAGGCATCTTTTTCAATGTTTTTTATTTTTTTTTCCCAAAATATACAATTTATTTACACCTTTATTTCACAACTGTAGTTTGTATATTTATTCCAAAATCTTTAAATAACTGCCGTAAACGGTACAAATCACAGGATCGGTCAACCTTGTTCCTCTTTCTCCTTTGCCCTCATTTTGAGTTGCTAAGGTTTCAAGTAGTGATGGTTTATGCGTCAGAAGGGAACAAAAATAGAGCATCATTTTCTTTTAAAAACATAAGCCTGGCACGCAGGATTAGGAGGGCGTCTCAGCAGCTACTCCTGTCTGGGACGAGACTCAGGGTGTCACTCCAGTTTATAAATAAGACCCTCTTGTGAGCCCTGAGGGTTTTGGTTACGAGGAAGAAAAGGTGGGGGCCTCTTCTGCTGGGGTGGGGGGAAGCAAAGTGGGGAGGGGTAAGGCACTGCGTGAATCTCCTTGGCTGTCAGAGGCACCGTCGGGTAGGGCCTGAGAGAGGGGGAGGACGGCGGGGCTGACTGGAAGTGTGGGGCACGGGGGACCCTCGCAGAGGTCTCTTGGTGATTCTAGAGGCGGGGGAGAGGCGGCGAAAGCAGCCGGCAGCTCCTACAGAAAAGGGGCTGGGCTTCTGCCAGCCTGGACATGGGCGCCAGCTGCCCTTGGCTTGTGTGCGCAAGCAGGTGAGGGTCAGGCAGGCGGGGGAGGGGGAGTGCCGGGCGAGGCATCTGGCAGTGTAGCTGGCATTCTGGGTTGGCAGGGCACAGAGGTGCAGCTGCCCGGGAGGCATCACGCCGTCTCTTCCGTGAGAGTCGTTCCTCCGCCTCCGACTCCCCTGCGCACTGGAGCAGCCATTGTCGCCCAGGCAGGGACCCATCACAGCCCCAGCACACCCTGGTCTTGGCCGAGGCAGCACCGAGACACGGGGTTGCGCGGGCCCCTCGGGTCAGTGGCCTTCATACCCCTCCGGCTGGCTCTCGGAGGCTCTCAGGAAAGAGCTAGTCTGTGCGAGCCGCCACCCCCAGCTGAATGTGCCCCTCCGGGAGGTGGCCTCTGAGCCTGTGTCCATGTTCAGGGGCCACCATCCGGCCTGAGGGCCACACGAAGCCCGAGCTGCTTGGCCGCTGGGTCGGGATGGGCAGGACTGGGCTGGGGGGGGGGGAATGGGGGGGAACAGGGCCAGGGCTGGGAAGAGGGCAGGGTGAAGGGGCTAAGAGTGGTCACTGCGTCTTCGTTTGTGGTTCTTCGGGGATCTGGGTGTGGAAAAGGCTATCCCAAAAATTGGTGCTGATGCCGAATCCTGGAGAGGGAGAGAAATGGGGGAGGGGGTGAGGAGATGTGCAGGGAGGGGGTACAAGGTGTGTGTGGGGGGCTCGACCTCTGTCCCATGGCCTGCTGAGCTCCTGGGTGAGCTGACTGACCTGCCATCCTACCCTCACTGCCTTTTCCTTTCCTCAGAGGACCTTCCTGCCCCGAGACGTGGGCCCCGCGACACCCTTTCTGAAAAGATGCAGCTGCCATGAGCTCTCAGCTCGTGTGGCTTCTCTGCAGGGCCACTTTCTCGGACTGCTTGACCCCGTGCTCTGCCCTCACTCCCAGACGGTGGTCGCAAGCTCAGGGGGGCTCCGGAGCCCTGGGAACATGGCCAGGGCCACTGAGGGGCAAAGCTCTCCATTTCATGACATTTGAATCATTCTAACTTTCCAGGTAAGAACATACTCAACTCAGTTACCGGAATACGGTCTTCTTGGGGGTCTGTTTTTGGGGCCACATCTATTGGTAGGACTTCCGCTTCAGTGTTGGGGTGGGGTGGGGTGGGGGGATTCACTCCCTGAAGCACTCAGGGGATCATGTGGTGCCGGGGATTAAACCTGACGCTCCAGCATGCAAAGGGTGTGCTCCAGCTGCTGAGTTATTGCCGCGACCCGAAGAAAACTTGAATACAGCTGAACAGCCCATATATGTGTTTGTTTGTTTGCCACACCTGGCAATGCTCAAGGACTATGTCTGGCTCTGCACTCAGGAATCACTCCTGGTGGTGCCTGGGGGACCATATGGGATGCGGAAGACTGAACCTGGGTTGGCTGCGTGCAAGACAAATGCCCTACCACTATACTATCACTCCGGCCCCATGGAACAGCCTATTCACGTGAGTGTTTCTGGTTTTATATTTTATTTATAAGCCATGGCTGGCTGTGCTCAGGGCTTACTCCTGGCTCTGTGCTCAGGGCTCACTCCTGGTCGGGCTCAGGGGATCATATGTGGTGTCAGCGATCGAGCCTGGGTTGGCCGTGTGCAAGGCAAGCACCTTACTCTCTCTATTATCTCTCTAGCTCCTGAATCTACTGATCTACTGTGTGTGTGTGTGTGTGTGTGTGTGTGTGTGTGTGTGTGTGTGGTGTCAGGGATTGAATCTGAGGCCTTACTGATAAGAAGCTGTATGCAACTGCCCAGCCTCATTCCAACCCAGGAAACTATCTATTTTCTATTTGGGGCCACACCTGGTGGTGCTCAGGGCTTAGTCCTGCCTGACTCTGAACTCAGAGATCACTCCTGGAGGGTCAGTTGTGTGCAAGGCAAGTGCTCTACCCACTGTCCTCTTTTTTTTTTTTTCCTTTTTGGTTCACACCTGGCGATGCACAGGGGTTACTCCTGGCTCTGCACTCAGGAGTTACTCCTGGCGGTGCTCAGGGGCCCATATGGGATGCTGGGAATCAAACCCCGGTCAGCCGCGTGCAAGGCAAACGCCCTACCCGCTGTGCTATCTCTCCAGCCCCCCCCACGGTCCTCTTGACCCCTACTTTTTCACTAAGTACAGATCTGGTAGATGCAGTGAAAAATCAGTGCCTGAATTGAGATGTGCCATAGGAGCAAAACAGAAATGAAATGTTGGCGGCAGGACAAGCGAAAGAAGGTCAAAATAGCACACTCGATTTTCTTTTAGTTCGTTGTTGCTGGGGAGAGGGGCACACCCAGCTGAGCTCAGCACTTACTCCTGGCTCTGTGCTCAGGGACACTCCTGGTGGGGCTCAGGGGATCATGTGGGATGCCGGGATCTAACCTGGGTCAGCTGCATGCAAGGCAAGTGTCCTACCCACTGTCCTATCTCTCTGGTCCCACTCGTGATTTATTTTTTTATATCGATTACATGTTGCGGTGAGAATATCGGGCTAATGGTGGCTTACCCAACGTAAAGATTCAGACTCATTTCACTGTGTATTTGGCCTGGTTATGTGACTACAGTGATTTTATCATCTTGCTCTGTACCCCCTTCCCCCGCACCCCCTTTGCCGAGGGTTTCTGGACGTGTTTATTACTCTAGGATTATGTGGGCTAGTTGGTGACTTCCTCCCTTATCTGTCTCTGCTCAGCTTCCCCGCACCCCCCTCCAAAGCCCCCAGCAGTGAATAACAGAGACCCCCGGCTAGCCCCGCCCGCCGCCGCCGTGTGGGCTGCTGGGTGCAGGGTGCTCACCCGACTTTTGATGTGCAAAGTGGTGCTTGACGTGGCGGGCCTTCAAGCCATAGAAGTGCGACTGCTTGTGTGGGGACCCGAAGTGCAGGTAGTAGTGGATCAGGTCGTAGAGCACGTAGGCCAGCAGGCCCCCCGCAAACAGGGTGCCCCCCACCGCCTCGGGCAGGAGGAGCTGCAGGGACACGTAGAAGAAGGCCACGCCCACCGAAGCAGGCACTGGGGGGAAGACGAGGCGCGACTGGTCGAAGGGCGCCTGTGGGGGAGAGTCTGGTGGTCAGCGGGGCTGGGGCAGCCCTGGCCTGCCCTGGGCGGATGGCGCTTTCCTCGGGTCTGGGCAGGGCGGGTCACGGTGACTGAAAGTCTGCCAGAGACGCCCGGGCCCCCCATTTCCCAACCAGGGTGGACCGTGGATGACTGCCCAGATCATGGGATCCTGCTTTAGGCTCAAGAGGCCACTCTGCGGGGATCAGGGAGATGGACAGCGGGGAGGGCGCTTACCTTCTCAGACTTGATCCCCGGCATCCCATATGGCCCCCTGAGCACCACCAGGAGTAATTCCCGAGTGCAGAGTCAGGAGTAATCCCTGAGCATCGCCCAGTGTAACACAAAAACCAAAATAAAAATTTTTAAAAAAGAGGCCAGTTTATTGGACAGATGGTCCAGTGGGTAGTGTGTGTTTGCTCTGCACTGTTGATCTGGATTTGATCCCTGGCGTGGCATGTGGTTTCCTGGGATCAGGAATGATCCCTGAGCACAGAGTGAGGAAGAAAGCCTGGAGCACTGCCAGGTCCGGCCCAAAAAGAAACAAAAAAGGGGAACAAAACAAAACAGGACACAGTGTTTCAGCAATTGGGGAGGTGCTGAAGGCCCACATCCTCAGCACTGGCCCTCAGTGGCCACTGCACACTCCCTGCCCCCTTCCCCGCCCCTGGTCCATGCTGGAGGCCTCCATTGTCCCCAGAGGGTGAGGTCACAGTGACCCAGAGCAGAAAAGGGCCCTGATGTTGGCTCCAAAGTGTCTGCCGGGGGCCAGGCAGAGATGGAACAGTGGCAACTCTAAGGAGAGGGGGGTCTTAGTAGGGGGGGTCCTCCTCCTGAAGGCCACAGGGTTGTGTGCTGGGACCGGCCTGGAGAAGGGGCTCACCCAGCACCTGTGCCCACTGCCTAACCACCAGGTGACCCTCAAGGTGCCCAAGGTGGTGGCGACTTGGGGGCTCAGACTCGAGCTGGCAGTGCTTTGCTGGGGACTGGGGAGAGACCCCCGGCTGCGCTCTCAGAAGGAAGCTCCACCCACTGGCGTGGGGCTGTCATGATCAGGGGCTCCCAGAATCTCAGAACTCAGAGCACCTGAACGCTCCGATGCTCACTGGGAGCACCCTGAACACCTGAGAGGTGAATGCAGGAATGAGGCACTGGGGTCGGCACAAAGGCTGCAAGGGTGTTGGACACAAAGATCATGGTGTCAACAGGGAGGGGTGTCGCATGCATGTGTGAGCACAGACACGCTCCAGACACGCACGTGCACACACGCACTCACAACACTCACACTCATACACACACATACACACTCACAAACACACACATACACTCACACACATGCTCATACACACACTCATACTCACATAGTCACACATACATTCACACATGTACACATACTCACACACATACACTCACACACGCACTCACACTCATTCACACATACACACACACTCACACACATACACACACAAACATACACTCACACACATGCTCATACACACTCACACTCATACTCACATATATACTCACACATACACATTCACACACATATTCACACACACACACATACTCACACACTCATACACACACACTCACACACACTCACATACACACTCACACACACACTCACTCACACACACTCACACTCTCACTTGTGTCCATGCCAGCTCCGCTAGCTCCCAGCCAGCCCTCCCGGCATTCAACCCCCTGCTCCACGCGGCCAGACTGCGGGAAGATGGGGCACCCCCGGAAGTCGGCTCCTGCTGCAGCCCTGGGGTCCCCCGCCCTCACCTTGTGGTGCTGGCCGTGCAAGGCGAAGTGCAGGGTGATGAGGTAATAGTTGTTGCTGGGGGGCTCCATGTGGAAGAGGAAGCGGTGGATGAGGTACTCCATCAGTGTCCAACCGAGCATGCCCAGCACGAAGAGGCCGGGGAAGACGGCCTTCGGCATGGCCACCGAGTACTCTGCAGGGAGAGGCCCGGTCAGGGCAGGTGCCGCACCCTGGACCTCCTGGCTGGGCGCACCGGGAGGCAAGGAGGCCGGAGGGAGGCTCTGTGCTGGCTTGAGGCTCACGGGAACGGGTCCGAGAGCTGAGCTCTCGGGGGGACTGGGAGGAACAGTGCCAACAGCTGGTGGTCACTTCCTGGGTCTGGGGCCTATGCGTGTCCCCTGGTTCCTGTATCGAAGTACGACCCCCAAAGTGGCAGGAGGGGCTTTCTCTTTCCCTCTCTCCTCTCTCTCCCTCTCTTCTCATTCAGTTTCTGGGCTACATTCGGTGGTTCTTGGGGTTGCTGCAGGCGGCTCTCGGGGCCCGAGAGGTGCTGGGACTTGAACCCGGGTTTCCTGCCTGCAGGCACGTGCTCGTCCAGCTGAGCATCTCCAGTATAATCCTTAATCCCGCCCGGGCCCTGCTTGTACCCATCCTGTCTTGGTCACCCTTGTAGGATTGGAGGGCCCCCGGGATAGGGATCAGGGGTCTCTGGGCCCGGGGCTTGATCCTTTGCATTTCGTTGCTCTGTTTCTGGTTAGCACAGCGGTAGGGCGCTTGCCTTGCACGCAGCCAACATGGCCGACCCGAGTTCGATTCCTCCGCCCCTCTCGGAGAGCCCGGCAAGTATCTCGCCTGCACGGCAGAACCTGGCAAGCTCCCCGTGACGTATTCGATATGCCAAACACAGTAACAACAAAGTCTCCAATGGAGACGTTACTGGGCCCGCTCGAGCAAATCAATGATCAACGGGAGGGCCTTTTACCTTTTTACCTTTTTTTGGGCCACACCTGGCGATGCTCAGGAATTACTCCTGGATCTACGCTCAGGGATCATTTCTGGTGGGGTTTGGGGGGAGCCTGTGGGGTGCTGGGGATTGAACCTGGGTCGGCCACATGCAAGGCCAGCTCCCTCCCTGCCGTGCTATCTCTCTGGCCCCATGTTTGCATTTCTTTGAGGTCCTTCTCCCCTTCCCAGCCCCCCAGTCCAATCTAGGATGCCTGTTCAGCAACCGTCCTGGCCAGGACTTGCTCTCACAGGGCCCCTAGAAGGCTCTGGGCTCACCCCGAGGGGAGCAACCTCTGCTTTTCAGCTGCCTCTGGGGAGCTCACACTGAGCTGGCGTCTCCCAGCACCCTGACTTCCCGAGAGAGGCATCTGCTCCACAGCTGGGCCGGGGCCCACTGGGGCTCCCCTCTCTCCACTCGGCTTCTCAGCGGGGCGGGGAGGGGTATGAGGAGGCAGGAGGCGCATCTCCCCATCACGGCAGACCGTGTGCACTTGACCTTGATTAGCCAGCACATTGCGGCTCTGACGGGCCCTCAAACCACCTCCTGCCACGCAGAGGGGCCCCTCCTATAGGTCAGGCCTCGGCCCGCCCCCTCACCCCAGCATCTCCCGTGCCGGCCCATCCAGCTGCAGCTGGTACTGGGTGGCATCTCTGGAGGAGCCCGGCCGAGGGCCCGGGGCCCACCCCCACCCCGAGGCTGCCACTGTCGGGGATTGTTGGGGAGCGGCGCGGACAGTGGCTGATTCAGCGGCCGGGCCTCCCGAGCAACAAGCCCCGCGCTGTGCCCCAGCTATTCAGCGTAGGCAGGACTGGCTGCCGCTGGCTGGCGGGCACGCATGTTAACCCTTGCGGGCACAGCCTTGGGCTGGGGGGCAGGGAGGGAGGGTGGCACCGCACAGCCTGGGTCTCCCCAGCTCATTCTGGGCCAGGGGGAAACAGGCGGCACCTGTCCCTGTGGCCCCCGACTCCCCACCCCACCCCCACTGGGGAGAGGCGGGCAGGCGGCAGGGGGAGGAGGGGCGACCGGCACAGGACAGATGGGGGGCTCTGGCCTCAAGGTGTGTGTCTGGGAGACGAGAGCCCCCTGAGCGTCTCTCACGTCCCCTCCACAAGCCACAGACCAGCCCCTCACTGTCACCTGCCCATGCATACACTTGTAGTCGCCTGGCCCTGAGTGGCCCTGGACTCTGGGAGGTGCTCCCCGTCCTGGGGAAGGGCTTGATGGAGGTGTTGGAATCTCCCCGCTGGAGTCTGGAGCTGCCCCTGGTTGTGCCCGGGGACCCACAGACACTCCCTCGCTTCTTCGATCCCAGCTTTCACCTGGGCTGAGCTCACCAGCCCTCCAGGGCCACTGTGAGAAATGGGCTCATTTGCTTGGGGTTTCTGCCACACCCAGTGGTACTCAGGGGTTACTCCTGGCTCTGCACTCAGGACTCACTCCTGGCCTCCTGGCAGGCTTGGGAGACCCTATGGGATGCCAGGAACCGACCCCGGGTTGGCTGCGTGCAAGGCAAGCGCCCTCCCCGCCCTCGGCCTCTTGCTTTGTTTCTTGATATTCCAGGTCCCGTTCTCTAGAGTCAATTAGTCTGATCCTTCCTCTACTTGGGGGCCGGGCAGGGGAACTACCCAGGTGCTCTAGGACTGCCCTGGGCTCTGCCCAGGCAGTATTTGCGGGGACCACTCAGCGCCAGGGACCAGATGGGGTTGCATGCAAGGCAAATGCATTATCCCCATCCTGCCCCTCCAGTCCTTCGTCCCCCTCTAAAATCACTTCTTTGCCTGCTGACGTGACTTCCTTCAGCTCCACTCGGAGGGGCACTTGCTTTGTTTTGTTTTGTTCTACAGCCTTGGGGAGGTGTCTGGTGTCAGAAGATCATTTCTCCAGGGAAAGTTTATTTTTTCTTTTTTGGGTCACACCCGGCGATGCAGAGGGGTTCCTCCTGGCTCTGCACTCAGGAATTACTCCTGGCGGTGCTCAGGGGACCATATGGGATGCTGGGGATCGAATCCAGGTCGACTGCGTGCAAGGCAAATGCCCTACCCTCTGTGCTATCGCTCCAGCGCCTACAGGGAAAATTTTTGCTTAAAAAAAAAATCTATGTGTGTGGCTGGGGGTTCTGGTGTGTCTGAGGGGGCCTGAGCTCTGGGGAACTCAGGACCGGGGAGAGTGCAGATGTGTCCCTGACCCAGGAAGGAGCCGAGTTACCTGTGGTGAAGGACTCGAAGAGCCGGACGTTGCCCTGGGCGAGTGTTCGGTAGTAGGACCAGCTGAGGTACAGCATCACGGGCAACCAGATGATGGGGACGCTGTACCTGCAGGAGGGGTGGGGTGAGGGGAGTCCCAGGCACAGCGCCCTGAAGGCCTCCCTTCCCTACATGGGAGGAGGACAGGGGCAGAGACCTACGCCCAGAGGGGTCCTGAAGAGAGCGGACAGTGATGCCCTGACCGCTGATAGGGGGCAGCTGGGTAGACACTGACCTCTTGTGGCGGAGGAGCTAATTGCAGGCAAAATTGTTCCAGCATTGTGGGCTTGAATCGCCTGGCTGGAGTCTAGAACTGAACCAGCTCTGGCTACAGGCTGAGCTGTCATCCACTTAGAGGACGTTTTATTTTATTTATCAGCTAATTCATTTGAATTTGGGGGCCACATACGCAGTGGTCAGGGACTAATCCTGGCTCTGTGCTCAGGGGAGCATAATAGGTATCATGGATCAAACCAGGCTCAGTCATATGCAGCTGCATGCAAAGCAAGTGCCTTACCTGCTGTAACTATCTCTCTGGCCCTTTAATTAATTAATTAATTAATTTGTTTATTTTATTTTTGGATCACACCTGGTGATGCCTTCAGGGCTTACTCCTGGCTCTGCACTCAGGAATTACTCCTGGTGGTGCTCAGGGGACCATATGGTATGCCAGGAATCAAACCTGGGTCAGCTGTGTGCAAGGCAAACGCCCTCCCTGCTGGACTATCGCTCTTGCCCTCTCTGGCCCTTAAAATGATTTTTTTTTGTTTTGGGGCCACACCTGGTGGTGCTCAAGGGTTACTCCTGGCTCCGCACTCAGGAATCACTCCTAGCGGTGCTCAGGGGACTGTATGGGATGCTGGGGATCAAACCTGGGTCAGTTTACCCCCTGAACTACGGCTCCGGTTCCTCCCTCTGGCCCTTTGAAGCCATGCTCTGGGGGGGTCAAGGAAGTTCAAAGGCTACAGCGCCATCCCCGTGGCTCTGAGTGTGATCCTGGTGCCCCCTGAGCACCACCAGGGGAGGCCCTGTGGCCCCCAGCCTGTGTATCACTCAGTCCAAGCATTGATTGAGCTGCTGGGCCCACCCCATGGGACTAAGCATAGCTGAGATGGACCCCTTGAGCTCTACAGGGGGTTCCCCACCCCTGCCACATGCTCAGGGCTGGCGTGTGCCAACGGCATGGATCACTACCCCCAAGAGCTTGATTACAGCTCCAGGCTCTGGGGAGGCATCCGCGTCCCCCTTCCTTCCCACAGGGAGCTGGCAGGAAAGACAGACCCCTTGTCCCCAATCAAGGGCCCAGGGCAAGGCTCACCAGACGGCCTTGCTGAGAGACTCGATGAAGTCTGAGTAGAAGAGGCGGATGGGCCTGGTCACCGGCTGGTGGACCCACTCATCGTACTTCTCCCCCAAGTGGCCCACCTGCCACAGCAGGGGCTTCCGCCAGTCCACCAGGTCCTGGAGAGACAGAGGCAAGTGGCTCCTTGATACTCACAGCCAGACGTGTCCATTTGCCCGCAGCAGTGACCACAGTGCCCCAGGCCTCTCCCCTGGCCTCGGCACCCAACTCTAGCACGGGGGACGCCACTTAACCCAGCCCTCCGCCACAGAAACAGGGTCCAGGACACAGCCAGCACTCTCTTCTCCTGTGTTGACAGGGAGCTGAGGACTGTCAGCACACGGTGTGGATGGCCAACTCAAGAGAGAGACACCGAGGCTTGGGGGGGACACCTGAGCGCCCAGGTGTAGCCATTCCTGAAGCTTGAGCTCTTAACCAGGAATCTCCATGCACGGAGTCAATGGACTCTGCACCTGGGGAAAGTAGCTCCTCTCTGTCAGCATGTGATTCTTTTCTTTCTCTTTTGGGGGCGGGGTGGTAGGGGGGGGGTCACACTTGGCAGGGGTTACTCCTGGCTCTGAGCTCCAGATCATGGCTGGCAGTGCTTGGGGGACCATACTTGGTGCCTGGGACTGAACACGACTGTGTGCAAGTCAGACAAGCACCTCGGCTTATACTGTTTCTCTAGTCCTGGGATTATCTTCTTGGTGTTAGTTTGGATTCGTTTTTTTTTTTTAAATCTACTCATTCACATGGACAATTTACTTGATTTTTTTTGTACACACCACGTGTGTATATAAATGTGTGTATGTGTGTATATACGTGTATATATGTATGTATGTATATGTATATATATACACACACACACACACGTGTGTATCCTTTCCCATGCCCAAGTCTCCTAGACCTTATCTCAGCCCAGGAGGAAATGGATTCCTTGGGTGAATGCTGTCTCATTCTTTCCATTCTGCTGCCTCTGCTTTCTCTCTCTGTCTCTGTCTGTCTCTGTCTCTGTCTCTGTCTCTCTCTCTCTGTCTCTCTCTCTCTCTCTCTCTCTCTCTCTCTCCACACACACACACACACCCAACAGGAAAAAGACGCAGAGGACCCAGCTTGTGGCCTGTATTCACACCTTACCCACAGCCCCCTTCACTGGTCACAGTGAGAATTTGCTCCCAAACAACATCAAAAGTCGTTGCTCACATGATTGCCATTCAATGTCTCTTTTGCAAACCACAGCACCCAAAAGGAGAGAAAGAACAAAAGGGAGTGCCCTGCCACAGAGGCAGGGTGGGATGGGGGGATGGGGGTGGGAGGGATACTGGGATCAGTGATGGTGGAGAACGGGCACTGGTGGAGGGATGGGTATTCGATCAATGTATAACTGAAACCCAAGCACAAAAATTTGTAGGTCTACAACTGTACCTCATGGTGTTTCACTAATAAAAAATTTTTTTAAAAGGTCGTTGCTCACAGAGCATTTCCGTTATATTCCAAGTCTGGTTCTGAACACTTTAGCTGAATGAACTCACACCTAACTTGGTAGGTTCTCTTCCCAAGCATCGAAGTGATTGGTTGAAGGTTACCCACTTCACCTCTTTTTTAATCAATTGGTCCCTTTATCATTAGGAAATAGCTATCTTCATCCATAGCAATATTCCCTGGCCTGAAAGTCACTTTGATTCTAATTGATAGAGTCAGACTGGGCTTCCCACAGCCAGTATTTACATGGCCTTTCTTCTTTCCCTCTTTTCACTATTATTTTTCTGTCTCTGTCTCTGTCTCTGTCTCTGTCTCTCTCTCTCTCACACACACACACACGCACGCACGCACACACACTTTAAACCTGTCTCTGGCAAAAAAACATAGTTGGGTCTTGCTTAAAAATTTTTTCTTGGGGGGGTTACACCTGGCAGCACTCAGGGCCCACTTGCAACAGTACTCAGGAGGGCTTGATTAGTTTTGTCTAGTCAGACAACCTCTGCCATGTATTTGAACAGTTTGGCACATTCACAGTTGAATGCCAGCTGGGGCTGCCATCCTGATCTGTGCTCTCTATGCCCTCTCTGCCTTCACTGTGCGTCCTTCCTTGTCTTCCTGACTTTGCATGGATCGAGTATTTCCCCTCCTCGATTTGCACGTCAGCCTTTTTTCTTTGTTTCCGCTCCCCAATCGTTCCTCTAACAATGATACCAAGCATTTGCAGTTTGCACTCACCTGTCTTGAGTGAAACTCCACTTTAGTTTTGTTTTGTTCGGGGGCCACACCTGACGGTGCTCAGGGGCTACTCCTGGCTCTGCATTCAGGGATTATTCCTGGTGGTGCTCGGGGGACCATATGGGATGCGGGAGATCAAACCTGGGTCAGCCGTGTGTAAGACAAACGCTCTACCCGCTGAGCTATTGCTCTGGTCCTCAAACTTCTGTCGGCCCCACACGACACTCTGTGGCTGTTGTCCCACTGAATTGTGATTCCACTCCCTTAAACAATGATGGTGTGGACACGCGTTTCTCTCTCAGCCTCAAAGTGGTCCTGACAAAATTGTCCCTAGTGATCCATCAGTGCTTATTTCAGAGAGAGAGAGAGAGAGAGAGAGAGAGAGAGAGAGAGAGAGAGAGAGAGAAAGAGAGAAAGTAAAACATAGAGTGACAGCAGGGTGTGGGGCAGGGTGCTTGCCTTGCACGCAGTGGGCAGGGCTCTAGCGCCCGCACCCTAGGTAATCCCCTGAGCAGAAAGCCAGGAGTAATTCTTGAGTACTGACAGGTGTGGCCCCCCAAAACACTCAACGCAGTTGAGATACAGGCGAAATGTCTAAGTGAGCTGCAGCGGGCAGGGATTCCAGCCAAGTGGCCAGAAACTCAAGGCCAGAGGGGCTGGAGAGAGCTGAATGGCCTGAGCCTGTGTTGTGCACCTGGACGGAGTCCCAGCTTCCAGCAGAAATAAGCCCCCGAGCACCGCCATGTGTGACCCAGAACCCACACCGACCCAAATCAAAAACCCGCAGGGACAGTGGGGGTGAGGCTAGCTGGGGCTGGCCTGTGTGTGTGTGTGTGTGTGTGTGTGTGTGTGTGTGTATGTGCACCTGCGGGGGGAGTGGGGGCATGGGGCCAGGTTCCTGCCCTGCCACCCTCCTCAGAGGGGTGTCCTGCTGCTCTTTCTGACCTGTGGTCGAGACACTGGTCCTCCCTAGCAGACCCGCGGGGACAGCCTCCTCCAACCTGCCTGCTGGCCCTCGGGAGTCAGGGCAGCTCTGTGCGGCCACTCCTCTGAGTACTAGTACTGTGACCTGGGCATGGAGGGGCCGCCCTGGAGGAAGCCCGGACAGGTTTGTAATGGAGAGGCCCAGACTGCGCCCTGCCCCCAGGGAGCCCCAGGGGAGAAGCATCCGAGCCCGCTGGCCTCCAGCGCACCGCATGTACACTGAGGCCCCAAGAGACGGCATGCGGGGGGGCTGAGCTGAGGAGACCCTGCTGCTTTCCATGAGGTGGAGGGCTGAGGGACCCCTCTTCCTGAGCCCCTCCCCTGCAGGGGGCTCCCCTCATCCTCAGCTGCTTCCTGGCGCAGCGCCTAGCCACTCCTCCTGCCTGGTCTTGGGGGACACAGAGCCTTAGCATAGGGGGCCTGGCAGAGCAACCGGTCCCGCCTCCAGTTCCCAGATCTCCGGGGGCTCCCCCCTTTGGCACCAGATCCCCCAGGGATCCCAGGGCAACCTCCTAAAGCCAGACAAGGTACACAGGGATGATGTACCCAAAAACTGCTCCAGCACGGGCCTGTGGGGGAGGGGTGAGCTCAAGGACCCCTAACAAGCTGCACCCCTCCCCCTAGGCACAGGCAAGTCTGGGCCAGCAGGGGTCGCTGCCCCGCCCGCCCCTGCCCTGCGGCTATGCCAGGAATGCAGCAGCACCAGGGCCTGGCAGTGGGAAAGGGCGAGGGTGGGCGGAAGGACTCTGCGCCCCTCCACCCCTCTCCGGGGCAGCGCAGGGGCCAGGTGGCACCGACCTCCTTCCCGGGGCTCAGGAGCGGGGCCGCGGCCGAATGCCAGGGCCAGGACAATTGCTCCCGGGACGGTCCCCCGGCCCCAAGGCGCATGAGCTGGGGCTTTCCTGAGCCCCGAGATGGGCGTGGGGGTGAGAGGACAGGAAGTCGCTCTCGTTTCTGGAGATGGGGCCAGTGTGCAGATGGGCTGAGGAGGAGGTGAGGGGTCAGTGGGGGGCCTGTCGGCCCCACCCCTCCTCCTGCTGCTGGCTCCGGCCCTGCTCACCAGGGGACCCCTCCCTGCCCTTCAGGCCCCCATCCCAGGGCTGAGACCCCAGCGCAGAGCTGAGGGATGCATGGTGGGGTATCAAGGGGTCCCCTGAGTCTAGAGCCCCCTCAGCCCCAGAGGAGGAGGCACCCAGCTCTCCACACTTGGGTCCAGTGATGGGGCCACCAGATAAGGGGTGGGAGGCGCCTGGGGCTCTGTGTGGCAGGAAGCAGCCTGCGTCCCCCGCCCCCACCGTAGCTGCCCTCCCAGGGACAGGGGGCAATGCTGGTGCCGGGTCGGGCTCCTTCAGAGCCCCTGAGAAGGTGACCCAAACTCTGGTGAATGTGCAGCTAAGACCTCTGAGCCAAGCACCACCAGGGGCGCCCAGGGGGCGGGGCCAAGCCAAGGTGGGCTGGGGCCAGGGCCCTGGTGCTGACCCTGCATTCCCAGTGACACCTCGGGGGTCCCTAAAAGGCAACCCCTGACAGGCCTGAGACCACACTGACAACTTTGTGGAACTCCACCCCTGGCACCAACGGATGTGTATGAATGTATGAGTGCATGCGTGTATATGTGTGTGTGCATGTGTGTATGTGTGTGAATGTGTGTGCGCATGTCTCTGTGTGCGTGTGCACAAACACCAGAAACAGAGCTCTCTCTGCATGTGTGTGTGTGTGTGTGTGTGTGTGTGTGCGCACTCCCTGCTGTGTGTGTATGGGCTTGTGTGTACCAGTTCTTCCCACTGTGTGCATGTGTGTACCAGAACCCAGAGCTCTCCCTGCAGTGTGTGTGTGTGTGTGTGTGTGTGTGTGTGTGTGTGTGTGTCGAGAGAGAGCCGACTGTGTTTTGGTTTGACACATTAGTCTGTGTTCTACCTCTTCCTCTATCTCCCTCTCTCTCTCTTTACACTTCTCCTCCCTCTCTCTCACCCTTCCTCTCTCCTTTTCTCTTTATCTCCCTCCATCTCTCTACCTTTCTCCCTCCCTCCCCCGTCTCTGGGGCCCCCCTGAGCCCCCCTTGCAAGGCTCCCAGCTGCCCCCAGGTCCTCTTGGGGGCAGACAGTGGCCCCACTCCAGAGCTGGACCAGGACAGGATAGGGGGGGTGCAGCCAGGTTTGGGGGGCCTCTCCCAGAACCATCTTAACGTCCTGCCACCCTCTGCTACCCTCTCTTCTACCACACAGGAGATGGGGCAGGGGTGAGGCTCCGTTGTAATTGTAAACTGAGCCACTAAGCTAAGCTAACTAGCAGTGACGAGGTTCACCAGCAGAGGTGATGGTAACCAGCAGTGACTAAGCTAACCAGCAGAGTTGGGGGTAACCAGCAGTGACTAGGTTAACAGCAGAGGGTAATCAGTAGTAACTAGGCTAACCAGCAGTGACGAGTTAAACCAGAGGTGCAGACTAACCAGCAGTGACTGGGTGGGAGCCGAAGATCTCCTGAGCTCTATCAGGTCATCATAAGCCCCTGTCCCGTGCTGAGGGGAACACGAAAGACTAGCTGGACACCCGCAGACCCCCGAGGCACACAGGAATAGGGGCCCTGTGGGCAGGGACGCGCAAGTCCTCAGAGGGCAGCCGTTCAATCAGGGCCTGGGGTGCTGCTCTGCTGCTCCTCAGAGCAAGAGCCCTGGGTGGAGGAGGCAGGGGGGGGGTCCTGAGAAGGACACAGGGACATGGAGGCTCGAGGGGGGAGGGTCTCAGAAGCCTGCAGCCATACTCCAGGGATCGGGAGAGAAAGGCGGAGAGGGGTGAGAGGCCCCGGGCTGGTGCCCTGTCCCTCTGCGGGCCAGGGATGGTAGGTTGGTCTAGAAATTGTTCCAGTAAAATTCCATGCCTAGACTGAGAGTCCAGTGTACCGCAGGGCCTCTGAGCCAGGCAGGGCACCCTGGGCTCGGGTGCTGGCCTTTCAGGGCCTTCCACTCTGCCCAGGCGTCACCCCAGGGACCCCTACTCTGTCTCCAAGCCAATTGAGGGCACTATAACAGCGGGACAGGCCTGGGGATGGACACCCCTGCAGTGACCCCAACCTGCAGGGACCTCGGCCACTCCTAGGCACCCCTCAAGCCCTCCCTTCTGGTCACTCGCTAGCCCACGCCCAGTGGCTCTTGTTTAAGTCTTCCCTTTCAGGGCTGGAGTGACATTACTGCGGGGAGGGGACTGGCCTTGCACCCGGCTGACCTGGATTTGATCCCCGGTACCCCATATGGTCCCCCAAGTTCCTGCCAGGAGGAATCGCTGAACACAGAGCCAGGAGTAAGCCCTGAGCATCCCTGGGCATGACCCCCAAACAAGCTAAAACAAATCCAGTCTTTCCAAGTGGTTCCTTTGCAGGCTTCAGCTCCAGAGCCCAACCTGCGGCTGGAACCCAGGACCGCCGCCCCTCCCAGCCCTCCTCCACGCCCTGCGGCTGGCTGTGGCCCTGTCCAGGATGCAGTTCCGGCCCCCAACACGCCAGCTTCCGAGACCTCACAGGTGTCCTAATGCCCCAGGCACAGCCCAGGGCGCCTTGCCCAAGCCCTGGGGCTCAGGAGATACAGAAACCATCGGCTTGTGTGCAACCACCCGGCCCCAACCCGTCACCTGTGTCCCTGAGACTGGCTTCTCTGGGCACCCCCACATGTCCCCCGCAGCTCCCTGAGGGTGGGGCCTGCTCTGGGGACACTGCTTTGGGACAGTTAGGGACAGTCATACTTAAAATTATTTAAGGAGGAAACGGAGACCTGAGGGGACATGGGGGCGGGGGTGGGGGCAGTCAGTTTCCTGCGGTGCCTTCAGGCAAGGCAGCTGTTCGGGCCCCTGTACTTCCACCTGTGGCCCCTGGGGACCCCAGGGTCCTCTAAGCAACACACTGGGAGACCCCAGCCTTCAACCAGTGAGGTGGGCCCTGGTTCTGTCTGGGCAGAAGGCTCATGAGGGATGGGGTGCCCAGGGCAAGGGGCTCGTGAGGGACAGGGTGCCCGGGGCAGGGGGCGCATGAGGGACGGGGTGCCCAGGGCCACTGTGAGTCTCTGTGGAAACGTCCCTGCTTCCCTGCTGGCGGGTGGCTCATTTCCCCTCCCCGCTGCCCCTCTGTGCCTTGGCTGTCCTTGGCGCCCGGCCACTACCTTGTCCCAGTCCACTGCCTTGAGCTGCGGCTCCATAGTTGAGTCTGGCTCCGGCGCATCCTCTGCCGTGATGGCTCCGCCCTCTGAGGCATCCTGTGGAGAGAAGATGGGGCCAGTGGTCATCACCGATGGGGACAAGGAGAGAGCCTGCAAGGACACGGGGCAGATGCTCACAGGGGCCACTGTGCTCAGCATGGTTCTTCTCCCTTAAAAACTAAATTTCTGGGGGCGGGAGCGACAGTCCAGTGGGTAGGATGCTTGCCTCGCACCAGCTGGCCCAGGTTCAAGTCCGCTCTGGGTCAGCCCGGAGCCCCCCGGGTGTGGTCCCCAGATCACACGAACTTTGACAAAATGAACTTCTGCCAAAGAAAAAAAGGTGAAGAGACCCAGAAGAGGAAGGAGATAGTGGACAGGGACAGCGGGGACAGACAGCCTCAGTCTGCTGTCAGGCAGAGGGGTGGGGGTGGGGGGCACCTGGTGGGCTCCAGTCACACTCCCCCCAGGCAGCTCAGCGGGTCTCGGGGGGCTCCTGAGTGGGCTCCCAGGGCTACGTCTCCAGCAAGCGCCATAACAGGGCAGCTGCGCCTGTGCTGACCCTGCACGGACGGGCCCCTCCAGGCTCAAGGTCAACGGCAGACACACCCGGCGCCAGTAGTCAGAGGGCAGGGAGTCACGTGGGCTGGGGAGCGCGGGCAGGCTGGCACCCAGGTAGGACGCCTGGTCCTGCAGCAGTGGGGAGGCGAGAGGCCCTCAGCACCCCTGTGACAGGGGAAACAGTGCTGGGGCCAAGGAGGGACCCTGGCGTGGGTGGGTCACACAGCTGGCGGCAGTTTCCATCCCTGTCACCATTCTGACCACCCTGCTTTCACGCTTCGAGGGTGACAGGAACCCGCTGGGGCGGCCGGAGGAAACCTGTGAGGGACCCCGTCAAAGCCGGTTCTCAGACTTCCTGGGAGTCTCGTTTTAGTCTGAGTCACCATGCCCACACACACTTTTTTATGAAGAAACTCCTCCCGTCTCTTAAGAACGAGGGATTTTGTCTAACAGGAAAGCCATTTATTTATTTGTGTGTTTGGGGGCCGTGTTATCCCATCAAAACAGCCAAGACCCAGGGACTATAAAACCCAGCTCCCGGAAGCAACCTCTTATTGTCTAGTTCTCACTCTTGGAGAACCGACAGACTACTGAGTGTATCCTGCCCACACTGCAGAGTCTGGCAAGCTCCCAAAGGTGTATATGATATGCCAAAATCCAGTAACAATAATGGGTCTCATTCCCCTGACCCTGAAGGAGCTTCCAATGTGGCACTTGCTAAAATCTCAGGGCTAGAACAGATGGAGACGTTACTGGTGCCTGCTCGAGGAAATGGATGAATAACAGGATGACGGTGATAAGGTGAGTGATAGTTTGGGGGCCACACCCAGCAGTGCTCAGGGCTTACTCCTGGCTCTGTGCACAGGGATCACTCCTGGTGGGTTTAGGGGACCACATTGGGTGCTGGGGATCGAACCCTGGTAGGCTGTGTGCAAGGCCAGCTCCCCACCAGCCGTCCTGCTGCCCCTGACATCTTTAAGGTGACACTCAGCATCCCCATGGCCTCTTCCCACAATTCTGTGGGGGACCCCAGGTTCAATCCACAGGACCCCATGGCGTAGCCCCCAGCACCACTGGGAAGGTGCCCAAGTTGAGAAACAAAACAGACATGCAAACATCAGGTGGGAGGGGCTGTGGCTCAGAGCCAGAGTGAACGGAAGAGGAGTCTGGTCTGGGGGTCCCTAGGTCCAACCCCTGGAACCACAAGTATGTACATGTGCTTCCCTCCTATCTCTTCTGTGGCTCATAGCTCTTTCTTGGGGTGGGGGATGGGGAGTGTTTTGGGCCCTTCCTGGCTGTGCTCAGGGGTCCCTGGAAGTGCTGGGGTGGGGGGACAGATGGCTCCAGGGAGCCCACCAAGGTTGGCCTATGCGAGGCAAGGCCTGACCCCTGTACTTTTGATCACTCTGGCCTTAGCGGGTCATGTTTCGCCATGTGGTCTTTGCAGAATCCCCTCAGACTCCAGGCTCAGCTCTGCTGGGGGTGCCTCAAAACTCATCAGGGCACCCGCTCTCCTTGGAAAAGTAAAAGCAGGGGCCGGAGCAACAGGACAGCGGGGAGGGCATTTGACTTGCATGCAGCTGGCCTGGCCTCGATCCCCAGCATCCCCTAGGGTCCCCTAAGCACTGCCAGGAGTGATTCCTGCATGCAGAGCCAGGAGTAAGCCCTGAGCATTGCTGGTCGTGGCCACCAAACAATGGGGAAAAAAAAAAAGGAAATGTACAATGGGGGTGGAGCATCTTGGGATGAGCAAGGTGGCCCAGGATGCTGATGGCACCATCTGATGGCGCGGGAACGCCCAGAAACAAGGGTCACGATTCCAGCAATCTGGCACTGGCACTCGGTGCCCTTTGGCCGAGCACACAGACAGGAGAGAGTGGATGGGAGAGTGTTCGCATTGATCCTGTCACATCAACTCTTCCCTGATGGCACTGACAGCATTTTATGCACCAGACAATTTCAGTGCCCTCCACCCCGACCCCCAAGCCCCAGGTGCAAAATTCAGACCTTGGTGCAGTTTCACCTGGTCATGGGGGGTGGGATGGGTAAAGGTGACCGACGACAAGGACAACAACAATGAAACTAAGACCCAGACATCTGGCTTCGCCAGCCACGGCTGCACACACTTGATTCCTTGTCTCAAGGTGCCTGGTCTGAGGTTCCTGCACCTGCATGTTGAGGGAGAGATGTTGAGGGAAACTTTCACGGGTTCCTATCGAGGTCACACCCACTGGGGTACTCCTGATACAGTGCTTGGGGTCCCTCTCTGTCATACTTGGGCATACTTGGGGAGCTGGGAGTCAAATTCAGAGCTCTGGCCTGCAAAGCATGCGCTCAGCCCTCGAAGCCCCCTGAAGCTTGGCTTTGTTGGGTTCAAATCTGGGGGCGCAAGAGCTGCTACTCACTGGTGGATGTGGGGGAGCTGCCTCCAGCCCCCGACTCGTCTCCACAGTACAAGGCCTGGAGCAGCTAGGGGCTCTGCCAGCTCTGACACAGGGCGCACTCTGCCCAGTGGAGTGGGCACTGCCCAGCGAAGGAAAGACGAGAGAAGGGGAAGGGGGTGTGGGAAAGACGCCAACACCCACTCTGTGCCCACTCATGACGGCCAAGCACTGAGATGGTTTCGACGTGGAGCTAACTGAGGAGTGAGGGTTGGGTGTGTGTCCAGACGCTACAAATGAGGTGCCAGGGGCCCGAGCAATAGTACAGCGGGGAGGGCGTTTCTCTTGCAGGTGGCCAACCCAGGCTCGATTCCCAGCATCCCATATGGTCTCCTGAGTACCGCCAGGAGTAATTCCTGAGTGCAGGGCTAGGAGTAACCCCTGTGCATCGCCGAGTGTGACACAAAAAGAAAAAAAAAAGCAGTGTCAGGAAGAGGCAAGCTTGTCACTGGTGAAGAACATGGAGGAACATGGAGCCATGTTATTATTCCTAGTGAAATAAGCCAGAGGGAGAAAGAGCAAAGATCGAATGCATCTGTGCAGATGGAGAAGCTAACGAACCAAAGAGAACATGCTGAACAGGGCCCAAGGGGACAGAATGAGAGCGCTGAGTGGTGGCCTTAGAGGACAAGCCGGATGTGAGGGCCCCCAGGGTCAGTGGTAATCCAGACCGACAGACCCGGGGCCCAGGCTGGCTCAGCACAGCGACAGTGAACTATAACGCTCGTAAAATGGGCAGAGTGTTAGAAACCAGCATCAGAGGGAATAAATCAAGGTGGGGCTGGGGGAGGTGTGGGCAGCGGTTTCCCCTCCTCCTCCTCCTCCTCCTACCCCCTCTCTCTGCTGCCCGGGTTTGATCACCACACCACAGCCCGGGAGCCGCCAGGCGTCACGTCCCGGCCACGGCTGGTGGGTTCTCACAAAGCCCAGGCCCAGATGGAAGCAAGGTGCTTTCTGGGCGACCCCACAGTGACCACACTCCAGCCTGGCTCAAGCCCAGGCTGTCAGTTACAAACTGGACAGATGGACGTGCCCCCCAAGGAGGGAGGCGGCTCCCAGGGGAGCCAGGACGTGCAGCACGCAGGCTGGCATCTCACCGGGGCATGGGCACCTTCAGGTACCAGGGAGCGCCCGCCCCAGCGTGTCCTTCACCGACAGCCACTATCGAGGCGACTGGCAGGAAGCCCGGAGCCCAGAAACTCCGGAGGCCCCTCTGGGGACTGTGCCTCTCTGGGTCCAGGGCCAGGGGGCTTGGAACCCTTGCCCCGCGCCAGTCCATGGACCTCGGGGGCTTCCCGCACCGGACACACACACACACACACACACACACACACACACACACACGAGTCCTGCAAACACATGCACGAATCAGAAGTGTGGAAAGGTCATTCCTGGGAGTCAGGGTACAACTCAAACTTTAAAAGAGGCTTCAAAAAAAAAGTCCTCTGGAAACTTCCACAATGCATGATTTAAAAAGACTTCTGGTCCTGGGCACAAGCAGAAGGGAGCTGTCAAAACCCCAGGGAGCAGCAGGAACAAGCTCGCTCTCTTCCCGCAGCTGCGAGAGTCGTTGGGGGGCCGCACTGGACGCAGCTGAGGACCAGGGCGAGGCGAGTGAGTGCCCCGCACCAGGAGGGCAGCAGGGAGGCCTGCCACAGAGTCCAAACCCTCTCTGCCAGTGACAGACTTTACGACAGAGGGGCCACTGGGGGTGTTTGAGACTGTCCCAGGCACCTGAGCAGACAGGTGGAGAGCCGGCTTGCTGACCGACCGTCCTCGTGCTCAGGGCCACGGCTGTTCCGGGGAGCCCCCCCGACCGTGGAGGGGGGTCAGAGGGGCGTGGCAGGGCGGTGATAGGGCCTGAAGCAACAACTCGCCTCCTGCATTATCCAGTGAATATTCCCAGAGCGAGTACAAGGCTCGTGAGGGCCGAGACCCCTTGGCTTGGTCACGGCCAGTTCTGCAGTCACCGGCACCGCCTTCAATGAACGTCACAGTACAGATGTTGGGGGTTTGGCTGGGC